CATTATTAATGTTCCTGTTTTTTGTTATTGTTAGTGTTAGACAGGCAACAGTGAGGGAGGAAATGGAATAATTGTGAAAGGCAGATGAAGGATTAGAAGCACTGTAGGCTCAGAGCAAAACGCCTCGAAGATGGTGACTGGATCGTACAATGATGACCCTGAGTCACTGAGAAAACTTTAGATTATGTGCAGCATGCTCTGACCAAGACCCAGGAGTATGATTTCCATTGCAAAAAGCCACACCAAAGTTGGTATTTTTAAAAATTAGGGGACAGACTTGACCTGAAAAATGTAGCTCTCCAAAACAGCAACTTCCTCAAGAATGTACTGAGTAAAGCAGATAAAGAGATACTTGCTTGTTATGAACTGAGGGTAGCCCACAGAAAGTGCTGTTACATCATTTTATTTTATGAAACGTCTTCAGTCAGGGAGAAGTAGCTTGTTCATTCATGGCCATTGATAAAGGAGCTTCATTTGAAACAGCCAATTTATCTGCTTTTCAAGTTGAGAATGGAGCATTTAAAACTTAATTTAAAAGGTAGTAAAGATTGTACTTCATTTCGACCTCTGGGATCTTTCCTGAGAAGGGCAGCTGGGAAGGCCTGGCAAAGGGGAGCTAGGGAGGAGGCAGGTGAGTGGAGACCTGCCCTTGGTCAGGAGGGAGGGTAGGAGCAGGAACAGTCATAGGTGAGGGCTGGTTCTCTCAGAAGGAAGTGATGCAGGGAGTCTTCTCTGACCTGCTGCTCTGCTGCATCTGCCCCCAGTCTGGATCAGGTGTCTCCCTTGGGATTTCCAGCAACCAAGAGTTTCTCACCACTCCAACCACATTGTATGATGACAATGAGAACAGTCCGTTGAACTGTCAATCATCAGTACCATTACCAGTCAGCCCCTGGAGTCAGGGGTTATATGTCATCATTCCGTCTACCCCCAGGGCCTGGCACACAGTAGATTATTCATTGGAGAAGGGTCCTACATAACCGAGAGCCTTTGGGGAAGGGTTTGCTCTAGTGCTGCTCCCTGCCTAGCAGACTGCATAGGGCGGTGGGCTGCAAAGGCCCCTGGGAAGATGCCAGCTGTTCTCTAGAAGAGCAAGAGGGGCCCTGGTTTTTACCTTGGGCTTAGCATATAAATCAATCAAATGTTATGACCAAAGATTCTGGGGCATCTGGTTCCCAGGAGCTGAGGAGGGCTGGGAAGTGGGGCAGGGGAAGGGTTGGGACAACATGAATGGCAGAGGCAGCCAAGGGCCCTAGAGCATGCTGGTGCAGATGTCAGAATTACAGAGAGAAGCTGTCCACCATCTTGTATTGACAAGCTGGTCAGGCAAGAAGGTCCCTGTGGCCCAGGAGGACGAAGCTGCTTCCTGGCCTGTGGGCTCTCTCTCCGCCAGATTTTTGGCAGGCGTGTGTGTCTGCCAGGGGGACATGTGGGCAGGGAAGGAGGGGGTGTGCCAGCTGTGGCAGAGCGAGCTGGCTTCCTCTGGTGCCCCAGGGGTAGCCCGAGGTGCAGCAGGTGCGCCCGTGGACAGACAGATCTTGGCCCATCGTAAGGAAGTGCTTTCTAACCAATGGCAATGGATCGTGCTTTGTTCACCTTGTGTTTATGTGCCTAACACTGGCCTGGCCCAGAGCAGGTGCTTGGCAAATGGCTTTCTGAATACGATTGAATGCTGATGGGTTGCTCAGAAATGTAGTGAGCTCTCTGTCACTGGAGATATTCAAGCAAAAGCTCCGTTGTGAAAGGGTTGGAGTGTATTATCTTTAAAGTCCTTTCCAGTTAGGAGACCCCTATGGTTCTAAAATTCACAGAACAGTTATGGTAAGCCTTTATTGTTGTGACACATATGGGGAGCTTCAGGTAGTCTTGAGAGGGACAGAAGGATGTGTGCATACACACACACCCACACACACACAGCTACTGCTCTCATTTTTGTTGGCTGAGCCTCAGTTGTATGGAATGGACACTAGATATGGGCTTATGATGTCCCTGCCTAATCTCTAGACCCTTTGAGTATCATGAAACATCACTCCTGTGATTTTGCTGTGGTGTGTGCACAGTGGGCCTGAAAGTAGGGACATGACCAAACGGGCATCACAGGCTGGTCGTAGAGGGGGGAGTCAGAGATTCGAAGCACCAGAACCAAGGTCATGTCTGGCTTTGAAGATGGAGGATGTCTGTGTGCAAGAAAGCAGGTGGCACCTGCCCAGGAGCCAGAAAGGAACTAGGGGCCGCTGTCTGTGGTCCCATGGAACTGGATTCTGCCAATACCCTAAATCTGTGGTCGGCAAACTGTGGCTCTCAAGCTATATGCGGCTCTTTGGCCCCTTGAGTGTGGCTCTTCCACAAAATACCATGGCCTGGGTGAATCTATTTTGAAGAAGTGGTGTTAGAAGAAATTTAAGTTTAAAAAATTTGGCTCTCAAAAGAAATTTCAATTGTTGTACTGTTGATATTTGGCTCTGTTGACTAATGAGTTTGCTGACCACTGCCCTAAATGAGCTTGGGAGTGGGTTTCCTTCTGGAGTCTCCAGATAGGAGCTCAGTGTGACCATCATCTTGATTTTGCCCTTTGATACCCTAAGCATTGAGCCCACGAATGCCCACCCAGACTTCTCAGCTATAGACTTGTGTTGTGTGTTGTTGAAGCCATCTGGCTGTGGCAACTTGTCACATAGCAAGAGAACATGAACACCGGGCCCTCTCCGTGGACTCCATTGGGCTCTCCCAGTTATCTGAGTACAAACTTAGTGGTTAGCTCCAGTTACTCCAAGCCCTTTCCTAAGGTGAGTGGGCCCTGAGGAGGAGTTGACCCATTTGGTGGTAAACTTTGTGTCTGCAAAGTCTGAACTCCAGCCCGTGGATTTCACATGTGACATCTGGATCTCACCTGAAGACCAAGGCTGGAGCCATAATGGATGTCTTCAAGAAGGAGAATTCTTTGGATGTTCGCATGTGGACACTGGCTTCCTCAATGGGCAGAAGGACGTGGACATTTCTAGGACACGCCTGGTGGGGTGTTGGCTTAGCCAGCCTCCCGGCTCTCCGATCATGGGCTGCTTTTTTACTGTTCTTACCTTACCCGTCACCTTGCTTCTCCTTGGCTGGACCAGCCATCAGGTGGCACTGGCTGAAGCATGTGTGGCACTTGGCTTAGAGATTAACAGCAGTGACCTGGCAGGCATGTGAGTGACACCGAAGCCAGTCTCACGGGACTCGAGAGAGCCTGTCAGAATGTGAGAGGGAGCCCAAGGCATGGCTCTTCCTCTCCATGCGAATGTCCAAACAATGCCAAAGCGAGAACCTCATTACTCAGGGTGATGATGGACTGACATAAACTGGCAGCATCCTCGGCTCATCTCTGTGTGATGAATGGGTGGTAGGCTGGGGAGGCCTGGGCCGAGGCTCCTGTCGTTCCTTCAGGCTGAGTTTCCCAAACAATGCAGTGCACCTGCTGTGCAGGGCCAGGGGCTGGGCAAAGATGGACTCTGGGAAAGGGGCTGCCTCTACTTTTCGGGTGTAAACAGCCTGTCCCCACAGAGGTGATGAGGACTAGCGAGCCATGGCAAGCGGTGGGTGTGTACACAAGGGGAGGAACTGTGGTTCCTAAAAAGTCACCAGAGGGTCTGTGAGGAAATCTGGCCAAGAGCCAAGAGGAAGTCAGCTGCTTCCTGTGAGCCATGAGACTCGTTTAGAGATTAACCGATTTCTCCATACCCTATAGGTGTCATTGGTGCCTAGAGAAGAGGAGGGGTTCTGTGGACTCCGGAGGGTCCTGGTTGTCACCCTGTCCTTTGCTGGTGGCTGTAGGCTCTGACACCACGGGGTGGCAATGCTAAGGGGCTGGGCTCCACTGAAGGCAGAGAGAGACCAGAGAGAGCGAAGTGTTCAGGGCTGTTAATTCCCTTCCTAGGATCCTAGGATTTAGGGTGATGCCATTGGAAACATTACCATTTAGTTAATGAGGAAGGTGAGTATTCACAAATCAGCATTGCAAATAAGCATGAGATGTAGCATTTAAAAATATATATATTTTTAGTTGATTTCAGAGAGTGAGCGTGAGATAGAAACATTGATGATGAGAGAGAATCATTGATCGGCTGCCTCCTGCATGCCCCACACTGGGGATTGAGCCCACAACCCTGGCATGAGTTCCTGGTGAATAGGTTGATGCTCAACCACTGAGCCACGTTGGGTGTGCGAGTGAGATGTAGCATTTTAAACTGACCTTGCTGTGCCCACTTCTCCAAGGGTTTGTGAAATCATCTATCGGTGCCAACGTGACAGGCCCAGAGGGACCTGAAATTGATGCTGATGAATCCGTTTTCCATAACGGAGACCCAGGTCTGTGCCTGCCAGGCAGAAGCAGCTAGGAAGGCACATGGCAGCCTCGAGGGAGGAGCAGCAGGGGAACGGGGTAGAGCAAGTACCAGGGAGGGAGGAGGTCCAGGGCTAGCTGCCACCTTGCCTCGTGACTTTGAGTAAGCCCTTTCCCATCTCTGGGTCCCTGACTTTTATTTTATGAAACAAAACGATGTGACTGGCCCACGGTCTTGATGTCTTCTGGCACCAATTCTCCAAATTTGCAACTCCGGAAACTGTCACTTTTCTCTGTGACGTTGCTCATAGTCCTTCCTGAGACTGTCAGACGCTGGGACTTAGACTTTGGGTTGTCTGAAAACAGCATACTGGTTGACTTGGCATTGTCCTTCCCCCTCTGTCCTCAGGGTTAGACCCCTGCAGGGTGGTCTGTCCTCCTCTTAACAGAGCAAACAGCCCATGACCGTTCTTAGTGACCACAGTGATGGGTGTCTGGATGGCTGTTCTGTATCTTGCGCAGGTGTTTTTAAGAGGAAAGTATAACTTAGATCTTAACAGTAAGGCCAGCATAAGTGATTAATCAGAGTAAAATTCTCCTGCCACCGGTATAACAAGACTCTTTATCATTTGCCCCAATTAGCTACTGATGTCTCCCACTTTTCCTTGTGCTTGGCTTTTAGAAAGAAAAGTTTCAAGATGATTCGATCCCAGTCCCTGTCTCTGCAAATGCCAACGCAGCCAGATTGGAAGGGCCCCCCGACCACCACTCCAGCCATGACTCCTGCAACACCTGTGCTCCCTGGAGCCACTTGCCCACTCGCACCAGCACCTTTTTGTATGCCCGAGTACCAGCGGGTAACCATCAGCGGAGATTACTGTGCCGGGGTAAGGTGTCTTCCTCTCTCCCTCTCCGTGGATTCCCCTGGGGGCTGTGTGAGCGTGGTATGTGCCTTGTGCAGAGGCCAGAGCCTGTTGGGCCATTGGGTTATGTCCAGCCCTGAAGCCTGGCCCAGTCTGTAGGTGTCTGGAGTGGGCAGGAGGTATACGAATTAGAAAAGGAGGGTCCTGCAGAGGTTGTGGGGTATGGGTGTCTAGGGTGCTGTCCATTCCTGTGAGGAGGGCCTGGGGCTGTGAGCCAGCACGCTGTGCCATGGCCTATCAGTTCCCTGTGTTCTCTGCCCTGAATCCCATTGAGGAAGGTGGCCCTTTAGTGTTCCCAGATATTTAAAAAAAAATACATTTTATTGATTTTTTTTACAGAGAGGAAGAGAGAGGGATAGAGAGTTAGAAACATCGATGAGAGAGAAATATCAATCAGCTGCCTCCTACACACTCCCTACTGGAGATGTGCCTGCAACCAAGGTACATGCCCTTGACTGGAATCGAACCTGGAACCTTTCAGTCTGCAGGCAGACGCTCTATCCACTGAGGCAAACCGGTTTTGGCTAGTGTTCCCAGATATTGAATGGATTCAAAGTCCTGTTGTGGATTGGTTTGCTGATTCCGCTCTCTCAACATCCTTAGATATAGGTTAGCCCTCCAGCCAGGAAGAGAGGGTATTGATGAGGAAGGGAATGAGCTGATGTGCACACCAAGTCAGTTAACTCAGTCACTGAAAATGTGCGCATTTCACTTGTAGGAGGATGCATTTTTATTGCTCACTCAGAAAGAGAAATATCACTAAAGTTAGTGGCAGGGTTAAGTTTGGTCCTATCTACCTGGCCTTCAATCTACTACTTGTGCCTCGTTGACCGTGTTATTATCTTTCTCTTTCCTTTTTCACGGTTGTTTTAGAATATACCAGAGAAAGCTAAGTGGCTTACAACTCTTACACATTTCCCCCTAGCCATAACAACATATATTATGTTGGGGGCAATAGAGAATCCTTGCATATGGTACAAAATATAAAAGAAACAAAAACTATATAGTTCTCCAGCACCTAGTTCCCTTTCTCAGAGGCAGCCCTTGGCTTGGTTTCTTGTGTGTTCTCACAAAGCTGGCATGTGTACTTGCAATTAATTATATACACATGGTTCGTTTATTTGTACACAAATAGTAGTTTACTATACACATGACATAACTGAGCCTCGCTTTTTTTTCACTTAACAGTATCTCTTGGAGATAATGTCATATCATTAAAGAACTTCCTTGTTCTTTTTAACGAACATAGTATTCCACTGTGCTGATATCTGCTATCTTATTTAAGTGCCCATGGATGGGGATTTTGGTTGGTTGGAAGCAATACAGGCCTTGTCTAAAGATGCAGCTTCCTGCCTTGGTGAACCCCCAGCCTCTGGCCTGTGGGCAGAGCAGTGGAAAAGGAGAGTCGAGGTGGGCTGACAGCTAGCTGAATGGAAGGACATTGGCCTGGGGCACTAATTAGCTTCTTTCAGTCAGTCTCCTGGCTGGCATGTCATAGGGCACGGAGCCCCTGAACTGGGCAATTGGTCCCAGACAGCTACAGGTCTGTGTCAGGTAGGCTGACCTTGCAGATCTCCTTGGCCCCCGTGGGTCTGATGTCAGGCATGAGGCCTGTGGTGCCTACTGGTCCCCTGAGCACCCCTCTGACATTTTCAGCTGTGGCCTGGGCTCCTGACTATGCTGAGTCCATTGGTTCTGCAGACAGTGTATTTGCCTTTGGGTGTTGTGTCTGCTCACCTGTTTATTTCTACCGCTCTCAGAAGCCATCCGGAAGGGCTAAAATGGAATTAACACCTTCCTGGGGACACCTGGAGTCAGGAAAGGAGAAGCCACTTCCTTAGCCAAAAGCAAGGAGTAATATTTAGTAAAAGGATAAAAACATGCCAGTTTTGGTCCTCTGAGGACCGAGCGGAGTGGGGGGGGCATGGAGGGTGGAGGGTGGAGTTTTAGCTGCATCTGTGATGATTGATTTATTCAAACCTATAAGAGATCTGAAATCATAATGAAAAAATATTAAAATGGTTAGCTCTGGGTGTCTGCCAGTGCTTGTTGTAGGTTTAAAATGTTTCAAAACTGAAGTGATTTTTTAATTAAAGCAGAGGAGGACCCTTTCAGGCCTCAGCCCTTCCCCACTGTTCTCCCCCGCATCTTGTCCGCCCTGGGCTGCGTCACATATCCTCTGTTATGACAGTTTAGCTGCTTGTCTCCCGAGCACATTCAGACTCTGCCCCACACATCCTTCCCAAATTGACAGACTGATGAGTGCACTGGGAGGTGGGAGTTAAGCTCATTTGTCTTTGAACACGAGGCAGCTCTGGGAATGCAGAACGTCCCTGGGCTGTGGGAATCAGATCAGGCTCTGCGGTTTGATGTTGTGACTTCCTGGCGAGTGATTTACCCTCGCTGGACCTCGGTTCCCCAATGTGTAAAACAGGTTGCAGTGAGGACCCAATGCAGTCTATGGAGAGGGTCTAGCCCACAACACCTGTCCCTAAGTGCTTGTGGCTGGGTGAATTTGGGTGGGCGCCGATGAATCAGAGCCCGGGGGCGGCAAAGCAGCAGAGTGAGCATGCAGATGTTTTTATTATTATCCTGTTATCCAAGGACCATCAGCTGAGAGCGATGATGCTCACCCTCTTGAGGGACGAGGTGCAGGCTTTGGCTCTGTGTGCGGGGTGCAGCCTCAGGCTTGTGCTTTAATCAGCAGCACTGGAGGGGCTGGCTGGGGGTGTGCAGGCGGAGTACCTGCCTCCCTACCTAACTCTCCTCCTGTGTGGGCCCTTGAGACTGTCCTCAGGACAGGGATCTGCTAGGACTCCTAGGGCTCAGCATATAGCTGTGCTCTGACTAGGATTTATTACAGAGAAAGGACACAGAGCAAAACCAGTCCAGGGGGCAGGTTCCCCGGACAGAGTCTAGGGGAGGTCCTCTCCCAGTGGAGTCACCATAACACACTTAGTTTGGAGGGTGGCAACACATGTGACGTGTCATCTATCACGGAAGCTCATGAGAGGCTCAGTGCCCAAGGCTTTTAGTCTCACATCTGCACAGCACGTCCCCACATTCCAGACTCCCAGAAGGAAACCAGGTGTTCGGCATACACTTGTTGGTGCCAGCAGCGTAGGCACAATGAGCCACTCTGACAAGTCAGGGAGTGGTGGGAATATTCACAGAACCCAAGTTTCCAGCTGCCAGCCGAGGGCCAGCCTTGCAGCACATCTTGCTAAGGACAGCGATCTCAGGCCGGCCACATGCACTCTTTCTGTACACCTTCCTCCACAGATCACCGTGGAGGACTATGAGCAGGCCGCCAAGAGCCTGGCCAAGGCCCTGATGATCCGGGAGAAGTATGCCCGGCTTGCCTACCACCGTTTCCCACGGACCACCGCCCAGTACTTGGGTCTTTCACGGGTGGACACAGCACCTCCGGGGGAGGGCCTCCCAGGTACGGTGCGGTGGCTGCAGGTGGGGCTCCAAGTGGACATGGGGCTTTTTACTGGCTGGATGTATTCCCCCCGGATGGTGTTGTAAGGGCAGGGTGCCGGCTTCACCCCCACAGAACTGAGCTCTGGAAGTTAGGAGAGAGATGAAAGTCTGGATCTTGGGAGTTTTCCAGGGAGACAGGCAGTCTCATGTGGGGTATTTTAAAAAACATGATCAGACATGGGGTGGGATTTAAGTGTAGGAGGCATGTTCCGGGATAGGATAGGGGAGGTAGGATAGGGGGTTAAACATACCTGTATTCTGATCTAAGCTCTGCCACTTTCTTGGGCAAAGATTTCTCCAAACCTCAGTTTCCCAGTCTGTAAAATGGGAATACTAATATTACCTGTCACCTGGGCCTGCTGAGAGGATTGCATGAAGGAATGAATGTGAAACAGTGAGTACAGTTCTGGAATCCAGTGAGTGTTCAGTAAATAGAAGCTGGTTTATGCAGTGGGGTTGAGGGCAGGATCATTTCTGGTGGGTTCTGTTTGGCCAGGGGAAGACCCAGGAGCAGTAGAAACTGTAAGATGAACGAGCACCACAGGAAACCTCCATATTGAAAGGTGGTGGTGGGGGACCCAGTAAGGGCTGACGATCTGTGCCAGTGCCCATGGCCCAGGCTGCCCCCTGGGTGTAGGTGGTGCCATTTCTGGCCTCCTTGAAGCTCTGAGACCTGGACTTTGAGTATCTGTTACCACCAGGGGCCCTGGGTAAATCTCAGCCATTCTCACCCACTTCCCTGTTTGTCTGAGGGAAGTTGATCCCACCTGCCCCATTCTTGGCAAAGGCTGGCAGGAATGACTGTCAAATGGGTACTTTCTGCAGAGCAGAGCACCCAGGGGTCCTGGCATGAGTGTGGTGGGTGGAGCTGTGGCTTCTCTCAGGCCTTTGTACTGCTGGCATCTCACAGGCCACTGGCACACGTTAGCAGAGCAGAAGCCCCCAGTCCCACTGCTATAAAGCATAACCTGTTTCTTGGCCAGAGACAGAGCTTAGCAAGAGTCAGGAGAAGTCATTATGAGAATAATGCCCAGTAACTTACATGTCGGGCATTGCTATTTACAAAGCATTTTCCTATACCCACATTTGCAGCCCTCACGATGGGCTGTTAAGCAGGGTGTGCAATCCTCAGATGAGCAGACAGGATGGGAGGTAAAGTGGTTTGCCCAATGTCCCATAGCTGGGCAATAGCCAAGAGTAGTTTTCTGCCCACCATGGGCTAACTCAACCCATAGCGGTTGGCATTCCTTGCTCAATTGGCGACCAGCCTTTTTCTGTGCTCATCTGGGGGTGGGGCTGGCTTAGCCCCTCGGCTGCCCTGGGCTCAGAAAGCCATGGGAGAACAGGGATAGGTGTGTCTCCTAGTGCTGTCTGTTCTTAGGAGAGGACAGAGCTGCCCTTTTTAGTGCCCCTGGTGGCCCTAAAGTGCTCAGGAGGCTTCGGCTCATTTCAGTTAAATTTTAAAAACTTGCCAACCACGTCCCAGGGATTATTCTAATAGGAAATGGGGGTGCAGAAGCGAACCAGAAAACATGTCCCACCCAGGATAACGGAGTGAACTTATTTCACTTAGTAGTAGGTGCTAAGGAAACAAAGTCAAGCCGGGAAGGGGGTGTGAGATATCTGGGTGGGGGATTCGTGGGGGGAGGGAGGGAAAATGATTTTTATATGGGATGACCAGAACAAGCCTCACTGAGAATGTGCCTTTGGAGGCCACGTGAGCTCACGAGGTCAAGGACACTTTGCCATCACTCAATCCTGTTTTGCAGACTTCCACCCTCCCCCGCTGCCCCAGGAAGACCCTTACTGTACAGATGACGCTCCCCCCAACCTGGGCTACCTGGTCCGCATGCAGGGGGGCATCCTCTTCGTGTACGACGACGAGAAGATGCTGGAGAGCCAGGAGCCCCACAGCCTGCCCTACCCCGACCTGGAGACCTACACGGTGGACATGAGCCACATCCTGGCCCTCATCACCGATGGCCCCACGTAAGCCGGCGGCCCCCAGTCTGCCTCTCCTTGCGGGGGTGCTATTCTGTAGGGAGGGGGCTGGGAAAAGCCATCTAGGTCCCCCCTTTGCTCTGGGTTTTCTCGCACTTAAACCACCCCAGAAAGAGAGTGGTTTTCCCTCTGCCCTGTGCCCTGTGCCCTGGGGGTTTTTGCAACAGTTCATCCCAGGCTGGGGTTTTAGAGTTGGTATTTCCTGTCCTGCATGCGTAGGTGTGGGCTTCTGTTTGCTGGTGGCCACCTGTGCACCTGAGAATGGCTGTCACTCTTCTCCCCAGGCGTGATGACTGCCTGCACAGTCACCAGCCCAGGGCATTCCTGTAGTTGGTGGAGGAGCCATCAAGGCTGTTGCTTCAGGTGTTGGGTTTTCTGTGTTTCTGGAGGGGAGAGTGCAGGGAGCCTGAGAATTTTATGCCACAACCCCCCATGATGCTTGTGGGCTTGGCTCTTGTTAACTTGGCAGGCTTTTGTCCTCTTGACTTTGGCCCCTCACTTCTTGGTGAGCACTTCAGCTATCAGCAATGGAAGTGCAGCATGACTGGACCCTGGGTGGCTGTGCTGGGTGTGCCCAGGTGAGGGAGAGGGTGCTGGTCACCACTGAGGAACTTCTTTCTTGCCCTGTCTTTTGGGTTTTACTGGGAATGAGTGTGAGGCCAGTCTCCAAGGGAGGAGAGTGGGCCCGAGGGGGATGGGCAGGTGGCTCTTGATCCTTATTGATCTGAGGGCAGATAAGACCTGGAAGAGGGAGGGACAGTTCCTGGGAGGCTCACCTCAGCCAAAGTGAGGAGTTTTGAGGGAAAGCCTTGGGAGAGAGGGGAAGAGGGTCAAGGGGTGTGGCTGTCCTGTCTGGGAGGCTGTGAAGGTGAATCCTACTGGGGAGAGAGAGGGACTGCGTGAGATGATCTTTGAAATCTCTGGTGACCCGAGACACTCCTGCGTTCCTCTCTGGGGCTCATCTCGGCTGGCAGATGACCATGCACAGCTGCTCTTTATGAAAGTCTGAGTAATTGCGTGCTAAAGGAGCTGCTGTTTGTGGGGGGCACAAGGAAGCATGTGGCATAAACTGTGGCTGAAGGTTTTGTGTGGCTGTGGGCACAGGCGTGTGGCCAGGCATCTGGGCTAGGTGTGGGCTGGCAACTGGCCTTGAGCAGTGGGCTCCCCCATTCACCCCTAATGGCTTTTTTAATTGTCAGCCGGTAGGGGCATCAGTCAGAGTAGAGATTTCTGTCCTAGTAACAGACATCTCTACATTCCTCATCTGCCCACAATGAACCTCAGAGCTGAGAGGTCCTTGGGTCTCGGGTTGGGAGCAGGCCAAGGTGGGCAGGTCATGTGTGAGAGTTTGACTGTATGACCAATCTCCTAGGAAGAAGAAGTTAAACTCCTTTCAAAGAATTAAAGGTGGCTGAGGATAGATGGGCAGAAAAGAAAAGGAAGCAGTCAAAGAGGGAGACTTATTGAGAATCCACTTCACATGCATAAACCAGTTTCACCCTCCCATTAAGCCTGGGCATTGCCAGCTTTTTACTTGTTCATGGGAAATAGAGGCTCAAGATCAATTGCCTAAGGACATAGAGCTAGAAGTGAAAGAACCCGTATGAGGTTGCAAAGTCAGCTCTACTGCCCTGTATCAGCTGCTCACTTATTTCAGAGCACACGGATGTGCTTACTCAGCTCTTTCAGCTGGGTCTGTAGAGAGCTGGAACCTCCCCGCTCCCCGCTCCATCCTGACGTTTCCACTTGAGGGTCGGTCCCTGCAGACCCTGGGGGTCTCCAAACCAGAGAGGTCGACGAGACTTCTCAACTATGGTTTCTCTCCCTTTCCAACCTGCAGGAAGACATATTGTCACCGGCGATTGAACTTTCTGGAATCCAAGTTCAGCCTTCACGAGATGTTAAATGAGATGTCTGAGTTCAAAGAGTTGAAGAGTAACCCCCACCGAGACTTCTATAATGTGAGAAAGGTGCGTTCCTCAGCCAGTGCTTAGACCCCTCTCCATTGCCTTCCAACCTACAGGGATGCCCTGAGCTGGTCTGGGGCTGGCCCCCTTGTGTGGCCTTCCTTGGCCAGAGCAGGTGATGTGCATGTGCAGAAGGAAGACCAGCATATTGCTTTCTGTGAATCATCATGCCCCAGAAGGTTCTTGGTACCCATGTTGTATATCTGTCGGAATCAGTTCTCTTCCTTGGAAAACAGGCATGACCTATTCACTGGTCATAGGTTGAGGCTATTTTTAAGGTAGAGGACGTATTAAATTCATCATGGAGAGAAAAGGATGTTAAGACCTCTTTGGACTTAGGAGTTTGAAATTTTGCTTCCTTTGGGATCAGGCGTATTTAAAGAAAAGTGTGTGCTCCCTCTCTGCCTAGAGTGGATGAGAGAGTTTGGCCAGGACTCAAGTGACAAATGTCTAAATTTCTGGCTTTTCCATTTTCTTCCATTTAATTAGTATATAGTGAAGCAAGGGAGTAGTGCTAAGCATAGGGCATTTGATGTTGAACAAGAGTCACTTCCTATCTGCAAGAAGTTCCAAGTATTGTGACAGGAGTGGCTTTTGGAAGAGGCTGGAACTGAGCTGATTTATAGAGTAGGATTTAGCTAGGAAGAGGATGGGTGGGGTAGAGGGATGAAATGATCGCGTTCCAAGCAGAGTTAACAACATATGCACATATCAGGAGGGAGCGAGTGGTCTTAAAGGAGAGAGACTCAGTTCTGTGCTGGCATAACTGTAAACAGAGAAGTGTGGCTGGAACTCAGGTGTCAGGGAGAGTAGTGGTGGGCTGTGGAGGGAGGGAGGCTGCAGAGGTGTGTGGGGGTTCTGAATTATGCAAGGGGTTTCTCAGAGGAAGCAGGGAGATGTCAGGGGTTTGGTAATGAGCTGGGAGAGAAGCTCATGGGGAAAGGTGGGGATTAAGTTGTCTGCCTGGAGAGGAATGGCCACACCTGAGTCACGGTAAGGTCCTCACCTCCGTAGGGGCCTCTGTCCCAGATGGGACCTCTGGGACTCCCCTCCCTGGGTCTGCTTCGATAAGGTAGGGGGGCCCAGGGAGGATATGGCTCCTCTGGGAAAGCCCAGCTCAGATGGGCAGCACTCAGCAAAGGGAGATGGAAGGCTTCCCCTGGGGAAGCCCAGGTCCTGTCTGTGAAGCATCATGGAGCCTGCATGGATTCCCACTTGGATGGGATCCTTAAGAAATGAGAGCTTGGCTTCAGCTCCTGGGCTGGGAGGCTTCTGGAAGTGTTTGGGGATTTCCAGACAGAGGTGGAAGGATGTACGTAGACACCATGTCCCTGGCATTTTTACCTTCTAGCACCGTTTGTTCCTTCTCTGTGAACCTTAGGTTCATACAGATGGGTGCCTCCATGACTCTTCTAGCTCCTCTCAGCCCTGCCCAGATGCACCTACATGTCCAGCACCGGCCCAGATGAGTGTCCAAGCTCAATGCAGCCCTGCCCTCTGTATGCGTATGCTCTGGGCCTGATGGCTTCCTGTTGCCTGAGGCTGAGGTGGCCTTGCTGACAGCACTGGTTCCCTCACTGTTGTTTTCTGAGGTGGGGCCCAGTGGGTATTCATGGGCCAATCAGCTGCACTATAGCCCAATGTGGGAGAGTCCTTGTGGGGCTGTGTTACATACCAGAGCCCATCCTCAGGGTTCCCTGTCTCTCTGGGGTTACCAAGCTGTCTGGACAGAGATGGCCTTGACCCCTGCGTGCAGTCACTTGTTCTCTGGCCCCACAGTCAGTCCATAAATCCAGATCTGCTCTGAGTTCAGGCCTGTGCCTGCCCCTCCACATCTCCTGGCAGCTGACTATTTTACCCTGGAAGCATCTACTGTGGAGGAGAGAGATGGCTTTCTGAAATCCAGGCTGGGCTGGGAGGGTGGCCTCCACATTCCTGAGGTGGCTGTCAATGTCCTGGGGCACGCTAGGGCCGGGCTCTGAGGAGCTGTGCGTGGCCATGGTGTGGGCAGTGTTTGTGAAAGTACCTGCCACATTGCAGCAGGTCATGGGTTATGACATCATGAGGCCAGCAGCTGTGTAACTGAGACAGCTGGTTTCTGCTCAGAGCTAAGAACAAGAGGCTGAGTGTGTTTGCTGCTTAGGAGTTGGGTAGAATGAGGCCATATCCACTCTGGCTTACGTGTCATATCAAGGGTAGTAAATGGGTTTCATCTTCTGTGCCAAACAGCCAACGGTGAGTGGCTACCTCAGGCTGCTTCCAAAGCTTAGTGCAAAGAGTGCTGTGGTTGATGATTGGTGTCCGCCGCGGGTGTGGAATGGTCAGTGTTAGCTCAGGAGCCAGGCTTGGCCGGCCCTGTTTGGAAACTCTAATGTTTGCTTAGACCTGGGTGTTGTTAGATGAAAGAAGGAATGCATTTGGATCTTACGATGAATTGAAAACACTAACATCTTTTACTTGTTCCAAAAACAATTGTCCTGGAGATTTTGAAGTGTGGATGCTGCCTGGGTGGTCCGGTTGTTTTGCTTCCTCATCGTGTGACTCAGGGGGGCCAAGACAGACGGTACCCCCTGCAGTGTGTCCCTGGTAAGCTGGAGGACACGACCAGAAACCCCCGAATGTGCCGAGTCATGCTGAGGTGGTGGAACCCAGCTGTGTCTGGCTGGACTGAGCCAAGCTGACCTTCTTTTGTGCCTCCACATGAGCCCAACTCAGCCCTAAGGTGTCTGAGCCTCTGTGCGTTTGGTGCTATGACTGGCTGCATTTCTCTGATGTCTAGTGGTCTGTCTTTCTGGATTAATGGCACGAAGGGCCTTGATGAGTGAGTGACGTGGCCAACAACATGGGCTGACTGGTATCATGCCCAGAGAGGTCAGTGGATCAAATGTCTGGTTTGGCATAACTTGGAGATGCCCAGCCAGAAGGACAGCATTCCCAGGCCTGAGGTCAGCTGCCTCCTCACCCCAGCCCCGGCAGAGTGCCCAGTCAGCCACAGCAGTAACTGCAGAGTGTGGTGTGGCAGCCAGCTGCACTCTGGCCTGGGAGGCTGCTGCCACCCTCCTCTCGAACCTCCCTTAGGTCGTTTGGGCTCTTGGAAGGGGGACCAGGATGCCCACTGTGGTTTCAGGTTAGCCTCAGCTTAGTCTGGGCTCTGTTTCTTTGGGGCTGGCATCTAAATGGAAGACTCAAGAGAGGTCAATGGGAAGAGTGGGATTTTGTGGGATGGTTGGTGGGCCTTGAGAATATATGAGGATACGGACATCATCAAAATTACCGGAACCTATTATACTGGTTCATTTGTTTATTTGGCCATTCCCCGATTTAAGTAATACAGTGTCCCAGGCTCTGGAGACTTTTATGCATTGGACATGGTCCCTGTCCTGGTTAGTGAAAGAGGAGCCAGGAAAATATTGGCGCGGATCAGAGGACATGTACAGTACAGGGAGAGTCTGTGCCTGCTCCCCTGGTTGCGTAAGGGACACTCATCAGCTGTGCTTAGGGCAGTGGTCAGCAAACTCATTAGTCAACAGAGCCAAATATCAACAGTACAACGATTGAAATTTCTTTTGAGAGCCAACTTTTTAAATTTAAACTTCTAACGCCACTTCTTCAAAATAGACTCTCCAGGCTGTGGTATTTTGTGGAAAAACCACACTCAAGGGGCCAAAGAGCCGCATGTGGCTCGTGAGCCGTTGTTTGCCCACCCCGGGCTTAGGGGATCGGGACTAGCTTTCAAATGGAGGAGGTCTTAGGAAGTTTTCAGGTGGCTGAGGTTGATGAGGAAAAAAGAAGGAATTCCAAGCTGAGGACACGCATGGGCAAAGATGTGGTGTGGAATAGCATGGTGCCAGGGGCACCTGCCACTGGTACGGCATGGCTGGGGCATAAAACAGGGCCATGGCAGGGGAGAGGTAAGGCTTTATATAAGCCTAGAATCCCAGACTAAGGTGCTTGAGCTTAATCTTGAGTATGAGACATGGAGTCAGGCAGGTCCCAGTTCTATTTCCACTTCGGTCACTTAGCAGTTTTGTGTGCCTAAGCCACTCAGTTAAGCTTCAATTTCCTTGCCTATAAAATGCTTCATGCAACATGCCTATTGACATTTCAAAGTTATTAAAATACTAATACAAAATGTGGTACTGATGGTTTGTTAACAGAAGTAGCCGGATCCAATCTGGAGCTTAAAAAGATTTCTAGATGCTGGGAGGAGGTGAACTAGGCAGCAAGGCTGGAGGGAGACCAGTTCCAAAGTCTAGAGAAGAAGTGGGGAGCGGGCATCCAGGCATTGGTGGGGGCTCTGTGTGGCACACTGAGGGTTGAAGAGGCGGCCCGGCTCATGAGTTGGTGCGTGCCATGTTGCAGGTGGACACACACATCCACGCGGCCGCCTGCATGAATCAGAAGCACTTGCTGCGCTTCATCAAGCACACGTACCAGACGGAGCCTGACAGGATCGTGGCTGAGAAGCAGGGCCAGAAGATTACCCTGCGGCAGGTGTTCGACAGCCTGCACATGGACCCTTACGACCTCACTGTGGACTCGCTGGACGTCCACGCGGTGAGTGAGCTTTCGCCCTGGGGCCTCAGGCAGTCCCGGCTGGGGAGTCAGCCACCTGAAAAGAAGCCATGATTGTGCTTGGAGAGAGGCTGGCTGTGCAAGCAGCGCTTTCTCTTCTAGCTACGGCGACTGTGAGAGATAATTTGGCCTCAGAATAGCTGGCTGGGAGTAGCCCTGGGCCAGGGGACAAGAGTATGTGACAAGGAGCGAGTCAAGCAGGTCCCAGTTCTATTTCCACTTCGGTCACTTAGCAGTTGTGTGCCCCTAAGCCACTCACTTAAGCTTTAACTTCCTTGCCTATAAAATGCTAAATGCAACATGCCTATTGACATTTCGAAGTTATTAAAATACTAAGTGATGGTGCAGCTACATAGTAATGGAGTTTCCTCAGCAATTCCACTCCTAAGTATATACCCAAAAGAACTGAAAGCAGAGATTAAAATAGATACTTACATATCAATGCAACATTAATCACTATGCCCGAAAGGTAGAAGCAACCCAAGGATTCATCAATAAATGAATGAAAAAAACAAAATGTGCTATATCCATACAATGGAATATTTTTCAGCCTTAAAAAAGAATAAAGTGCCGAAACCGGTTTGGCTCAGTGATAGAGCATCGGTCTGCGGACTGAAGGGTCCCAGGTTCGATTCCAGTCAAGGGCATGTACCTGGGTTGCGGGCACATCCCCAGTGGGCGGTGTGCAAGAGGCAGCTGGTAGATGTTTCTCTCTCATTGATGTTTCTAGCTCTCTATCTCTCTCCCTTCCTCTCTGTAAAAAATCAATAAAATATATATTAAAAAAAAAAGAAAAAAGAATAAAGTGCTGACATCTGTCATAATGTGGACAATACTTGAAAACATTATGCAAAGTCAAAGAAATCACATACCAAAGGACAAGTAGTGTGTGATTTCACTTGTGTGAGGGTCCTAGGATATGTAAATTCATCGAGACAGAAAGGAGAATAGAGATTGCTAGGGACTGGGGGAAGAGAGAATGGTGAGTTACTGTTTAACTAGAGGCCTGGTGCATGACATTCATGCACTGGAGGGAGGGGGTCCCTCAGCCCAGCCTGCGCCCTCTCACAGTCTGGGACCTTCAGGGGATGTCCAACTGCCGGCTTAGGCCTGCTCCCTGCAGCAGTCAGACATCCCCCAAGGGGTCCTTAGCGCTGCTGCAAAGGTGGGAGAGACTCCCGCTACCACCACTGAGCTCACCACCCCTGAGTCTGGCTTCTGGCTGAGAGGCACTTCCCCTGTGGGAGCACATTGACCACCAAGGGGCAGTTCCTGTGTTGAGCGTCTGCCTCCTGGTGGTCAGTGAGTGTCATAGCAACTGGTCATTCTGCCACATGGTCAATTTGCATATTAGCCTTTTATTATATAGGATAGGTACAGAATTTCAGTTTTACAAGATAAAAAGAGTTCTGGAGATGGATGGTGGTGATGGTTGTACAACAATATGAATATACTTAATACCATTGAACTGTACACTTAAAAACGGCTATGATGGTAAATGTTGTGTTATGAATATTTTACCACAATAAAGAAAAAAATCTGTTGAATAAACAGACAAAACACTGAATGCAATAAGGTGGAGAAAGTGCCTTATGAAATTTAAGTAGTAATAGGACATACCTGATTTTTATTATTTTTTAAAATATATTTGTATTGATTTCAGAGAGGAAGGGAGAGGGAGAGATAGAAACATCAATGATGAGAGAGAATGATTGATCGGCTGCCTCCTGTATGCCCTACACAAGGAATTGAACTGCAACCCCAGCATGTGACCTCCTGGTTCATAGGTCAACACTCAACCACTGAGCTACCCTGGCTGGGCAGGGCACACTTTTAGATCATCCAGTAGTTTTTAATCATCTGCTCACTCAGCCAGTCATGCTTTTAGCCACAGCAGCTTGGAGCACAATGTCCCTGGTCCTCCTTCACCAGGATCCCCCACCAAAGGACCCCAAGGCTGACAGAGTGAGGATGCATGGTCCTGGCCCCAAGACATTTTGATTTTATGAAAGAACTGACAGAGAAGGCCTTTCAGTGTGGCCCTCTGTCAGACCACCTTGTAAAGGCCTGGGGAGGGGGATGGGTGTGGTGGCTGCAGGACAATGCGGTGAATCTGGCTGTGGCCCCTCCCTCTCTCCAGGGCCGGCAGACATTCCACCGCTTTGACAAGTTCAACTCTAAATACAATCCTGTGGGGGCCTGTGAGCTGCGTGACTTGTATTTGAAAACGGAAAACTATTTGGGAGGAGAGTACTTTGCTCGGATGGTCAAGGTGAGTGGGCCCTCAGCCTCGCCAAGCCCTCCTCAGACACCTGCCAGCATCTGCCCTCAGCAGGGGGCTGCGTGTGGCCTCGTTGTCATCTTCTTCCCGAATCCCTGCCCAGCCACCATCCAGCTCCGGAGAGCTCGGGTGCTCAGGGGCCCAGTGCTCTGGCCCTGGCTGTCGGCTCCGAGTGTGGACAGGCTGGTGCTGAATGTGTCCGCTGCGTGGACTGTGGGGCAAGAGGAGGGGGAGGGCGTCCATTCTGAGAGCACTCACAGCGTCCAGTCTTGCTGCCCTGTCTATTTGCAGCCTGAGCTTGGCTGGGAGCAGCTGAGCTCCATGGGGAGCCGTGTCTGCTGCCTGGCCTGGTTATGCTGTGATGGTGCAGACCCAAGGCCTTTCTCTCCGGGAAGGAGCCTCTGCTGAGGCGAGTGAGTACTTGCTTGGCAGCCAGGTGATGTAGAGGAGGCCGCCCCAGCCTGGGAGCAGGTGGCTGAGGGAACTGCAGGATCCGGCAGCCGGGGTGCTCGTGGCCTGACCCGAGCTCTTCTTGGTGCCCAGGAGGTGGCCCGGGAGCTGGAAGAGAGCAAGTACCAGTACTCAGAGCCGAGGCTGTCCATCTACGGCCGCTGTCCCGATGAGTGGCTCAACCTGGCCCACTGGTTCATCCAGCACAAGGTCTACTCTCCTAACATGCGCTGGATCATCCAGGTGCCCCGGATCTAGTAAGTGAGGAGGCCCCCGGTCTGCCTGTGCCCCCTGGGACCCCCAGCTGTCTCACCTGGCCACTGAGTCTGCAGTACTGAGACCTGTTCGAGTGCCCGCTTAGGCCTCTTCTCCTCAGGGATTTTCCCATAGGAAGGGGCGGTCAGCAGGGATGTCTGTGTGACACACGCTTACTCCTTAAAGAACATGTGTGTGCCAACGCCTGGTGGGAACTGCTGCCTGTCTTCTCACTGCAGGATGCGGAGGTCCTTTTGGGGGAGCACCAGGGTGTGGGGCACCCGGTGGTGGCCTGCATTGCTGGCCCTCCCCTGGCTCTGACTCAAAGTCCACCGCTGTCCTCTCCGGCTGTCTGGCTAATGTGGGGGTTCGTGGACCCTGGGCCGTCTGGGGCCTGTGGTTTAGGGGAACCAAGCTGAGTGGCAGAGAGTTTGGATCACTGGGGAATAGGAAGACTCCTCTCCTTGGTCACCCTGAATCCCTCCACCCTTCTCTCAGTGTGGCCTCTGGCTTGAGAAAGCTCTTAGAGGGGCTTGGGTCGGTGCTGACTTTGCCAACGCGAGTGGTGCAGATGTTGCTGGGTGCTGGAGAGGAGGGAAAAGGTGGTGTTGAAGCCACATCTCTGCCTCCACTCAGGGGGTTCTGTCTGAATGGGAAGTGACTGAGATCGACCTCAGACAGGCCCAGGAGGCTGTTGGGTGCACCTTGATCATCGCCTTCGCTTTCCCCAGTGACATATTTAGGTCGAAGAAGCTGCTGCCAAGCTTCGGGAAGATGCTGGAGAACATCTTCCTGCCCCTTTTTGAGGCCACAATCAACCCCCAAGATCACCGAGAGCTTCACCTCTTCCTCAAATATGTAAGTGGGGGTGGCGCCCAGGTGACGGGCACAAAGGTGGAGAGAGGAGAGGATTCCCTCTGGGCTGATCAGGCTTCCCTTCTCAGGCCTGTCACTCCTGTGCCCAGGCCTGGGGTTGCCAGCCCCCCTGGACTCCTCAGGGGCACCCTGGGGCTTGGGTGGGTGCTGGGGTGGGCAGCATGGGGAAAGACTGAGGAGTCAGTGCCCGGCCAGGTGGGGCTGCAAAGACTGGGTCCTGCCCCAGCAGCACCAAGCAGCACCCAGCAGCAGCCTCTGGTTTCTTTAGAGACGCAGACATTTCGTCTCTCCTGCTTTCGGCTAGAAAGACGGTGCTCACACCTTAGGCACACAAGCCAGCCCCACACGATGTATTTATCTTCCATGTCTGTTCAGTTCCATGCAAGAGGGAGGGAAGGGGCATAGGAGACCTAACCAGAAAGGGCCTAGTGGGGCAGGTGCTGGTCGCTTGCTCTGTGTGCCTGGCATAGAGGTAGCTAATGGCAGTGAGGAGCAAGGTCAGGATCTGGTGGAGGTTCTGGGGAAGATTTCTGACAAGGAGGGAGGCAGGGGAGATTCCAGAGGGCTGGGGTCATGGGGTAGAGGTGGTTGAGTTTGTGAATGTGTGTGTGTGTGTCTGTGTGGGGGGATAGGGGCCAGGACCTACCAGGAAAGGGTTTGAATAAGCTGAGGGACATTACTGAATCTGTTTTAGACAAACACCATCCTGGCTGCTGTGTGGTGAGTGGCCTGGAACAGAAGGTGGCTGGAGGTGGGGGAAAGGGTCCAGATGAGTCAGGGGCCGGTCCCAGCAGTCAGGCAGATGGGGGCTAGAACTAACCATACAGCTGCTGCCTGCTCCGGGGTCTGCACGTGACGTGACCCTGCGTCAGCCTCATGGCTGCCCTACTTTACACCATGGTTGGAATTAACAATGAGAGTGTTATGTACTAGATGTGTGATGGACTCTGTGTTAACCATAAGCAGCATTATGTGCTTGCTGTGCGCCAGGCCCTGCGCTAGGTGCTCTCCAGGGACTGTCTCATTTAATCCTCACACCAGCCCTATGGAGCTACTAGCTCCAGCTTACACACGAGGAGATAAAAACGGAAAAGTGGCAGAACTGGGATTCATATCCAGGTGTTGTTATCCTCATCCCAGGCGGCCTCCTAAGTGAGAAAAGTGTGGCGTATGTGGGAGGCAGGCAAGGCTCCGGGCAGCGTGCTGGGCATGGGTGTAGGTTGAGGGACCTGAGTGGAGACTGAAGGTGGGCTCCAGGGAGAGGTCCAGGGGGCCTCCTGGTGCCTGGGGTTTTGGGCAGGGGGCGGTGGGTGGACAGTGTGCCTGTCAGGGGCCATTGCTAACAATGGGGAAGAGCAGACTTGAGCAGGAGGAGGAGTTAAGGTATGCATATATTTTGTGCTTGAGGCCTGTGGGAGGTCCATTTCCAGGCCCTGCATCCTTTGGTACAGAGTTCAGCAGAGGGGCTGACGTTGCCCCCCCCCCCCCCCATGCCCAGCCTTGAGAGTCCCTGTGAAGCTGGAGCTCGTGGGGACAGAGCAGAACTTGAGTCCTCCCTGGTCCCCCATGACCGTCCAGGTCACACTGAGAGCTATAGTGGAGGCCTTGTCCCTTTGACACATAGGGCTCTGTGACGGGGAAGATTTCGCCCACCCCCTCGTGGTCCCTTGCTCCTTTGGGAGAGGCTGGCAGACCCAGCTGGGAGCATGTGGAGCGAAGTGGGCAGTCTTTCAGGGGCCCTTCCTAGAGCTCCACTCCGGTTAAGCTTTAAGGAGAGACACGTGTTAGCAAAACTGCCCCACATGCTGGCTAAGAGGCTGCGTCCTCACAGGTACATTTGTGGTCAGGGCCTGACCTCTGGGAGCAGGTGCCTAGAGGGGGGCCCCAGGGCACAGTCTGGACCCCAGCGGAGGTGTAACTGGGGTGGAAGGTGGGAGTCTCCGGAGCTTCTCTGACCCGGCTCGGAGGGCAGCTCCCGGGGAGGAGGTGGTGCGGAGAGCCACCTCCTCCCAGAGCCATGGCTCAGCCCTCCAAAGCGGCCCGTTTGTGAAGCATCCCAGCTGGTTTTCAGTGATTCCACCTGGGACATGCCCTTGGGCACGCTCCACCGACAGCCCGGGAGTCCAGATGTTGAGCCCATTTAGGCTCAGAGCCGGTGGTCTCTGGCTAATCGCCTTGGCTCTGGTTTGCTCTCAGCCCAGCCCTCCCTCGCAGGGCCACTGAGTATTAAATCAGTTGATGTGTGGTAAGTGCGTCAAGCAGGGCCTGATGTATAGTAGGTGCATGGGACATGCTTCTCCCCTTCCTCCGAGCTGCTGTCCCTGCTGCTGATGGCAGGACTGCCGGCTACTCTGCAGTGCTGGCCTCCTCCTTGGCACAGCAGAGGGGTGAGCAGTGGGTAAGGCTGCCTCACTGTTCACCTGGCCCGTGTGTCCCCTCGCCATCGCCGCCACCACACAGGGCTTAGCACTCTCCAGTTTGGCCCTCTGGGTGCCGCTGGAAGCCCAGGAGGAAAGAGGATGGCATGGTGCCCACTCCCCATCCCTGGGGGCACTGTGCCTCAGGCTGGCTCTGGGGTCCCCAGCTGAGGCATGGACCCGAGAGGCCCGGCTTCCAAGGCCTTGGCTTGATGTAGGGCCCCCCGTCCCACCCAGGTGACAGGGTTCGACAGTGTGGATGATGAGTCCAAGCACAGCGACCACATGTTCTCGGACAAGAGCCCCAACCCGGACATCTGGACCAGTGAGCAGAACCCGCCCTACAGCTACTACCTGTACTACATGTATGCCAACATCATGGTGCTCAACAACCTCCGCAGGTGGGTGAGCTGCCTGCACCCACGGCCATGAGCCCTCACAACCCCGAGGACGTGCCCCAGCCTCTCACACAGGGCCAGGTACACAGGCTGTCACACCCTCTACAACAGACACAATCAATTATACATGCCATGAGGCCAGACCCCAAGCCTGCATACACACACACACACACACACACACACACTCACACTAACACCTACATGTGTAACTGCCTGTACCTGATATGATACAGACATGCGATGTGCTAATACACATGTAAGTGTTCACATGTGCAATCATTCATGCAACAAATTATTGCACCTGCTACATGACAAGCACTGGAAACATTATAGGGAACAAAGCAGACTAAGCCCATGCTCTCATGGAGCCTATACCCAATGGTTTTACAGGCCAGGCTCCCACCAGGACACACAAGCAGATGAGGCACTCATGGCAGGAGTCAGGTGCCCAGCACACAGGGCACTAGCCGTCCATGCCCCTCTCTGCACCTCTCCCGCCCCTGCTGGGCATGGGGCCTCGCTGGTTTGTGGGTTGGAGGTTTTGAATGAGATTGATGGAAAGAAGATGGTATGGTGTTGGGTGGGGGCAGTCTGGGCTGAGCTTTTGGACACTGGGCTCTAGTTCTAGTTCTGCCACTGACCTGCTCAGTGGCTTATCTAATGTCTCACTCCACCTTCCAGGTTCTCTGGGTTTGTCCGTTTGTGTAACAGACAAGTTGGACTCCATGATTTCTCATGGCTTTTCCTGCTCTGAAGGTCTATGAATCTGGGCTACAGGCCCGGTGAGGAAGGGAGGGGCGGATTGGGTGGAGGACAGGCCAGTCTCCTTCTACCATGAGGCTCCCTCTGTTCCCCAGGGATAGCATCTCTTGGCTCCGAGGCATTGGGCCTGGCCGCTGCATTTTTGGAGGGTGCCCTGTGTCAGCTGGGTTACTGTCTCCCCTGGAGTAGGCCCTGAGCTAGGGTGCAGGCCTAGCCTGTGGGGTCCTGCGCAGTGTGGACCAGGGGTCCTTGCTGACCAAGAGCCTGCCTCACTTGTTCTGCAGGGAACGAGGTCTGAGCACGTTCCTGTTCCGGCCTCACTGCGGCGAGGCTGGGTCCATCACCCACCTGGTGTCTGCTTTCCTGACTGCCGACAACATTTCCCACGGGCTGCTCCTCAAGAAGGTAACGAGCCATTCACTGACACCGGCCTTCAGCCACAGTCCTGCTCTGGGCTCCCCTGGGGAGGAGTGGGGTCTCCTGGCTCCTGTTTGCCCCTGGGAGCCTCTGGGCCTTTTCCTGGGCAGGGCTGTCTGTAGTCATTTTGGTTTCATATTTAATTATGAAGGTAGTATTATAAATATAGCACAATTTGGATTTCCAACAAATGGAGAAATGGGAAGAAACCCCCCCCACCCTTATTGCTATTGCTTTAATAGAAACAGCCATTTATAGCTTTTTAGTTTTCCCTATTCCATTTTTTCTTCTTCTTCCAGAGCATATTTCTAAATGCTTATTATAATAACCAGGAGCCCGATGCACAAAGATTTGTGCTAGAATGGGCTTTTCTTTCCCTGGCTGCTGGCACCATCTTTCCACTCTGGCCCAGCCCCTTTCCACTCAGGCACCGGAGTTGCCTCTTTCTGCTCCAGCCCTGCCTTCCCATACTGCCCAGAGGCCCTGAGAGAATGGGGGTGGGGATGGGGGGGGAGGGGAAGCAGAACTCTTCCTGCCCCAGTGCCTGTGTATGCAAATCAACCGCAATATTTGTTGGGTTAATTTGCATATCACTCCTGATTGGCTGGTGGTCTATTTACATGTTTGTCTATTATTAGATAAGATGAACAGAAGTTTTTGTTCCTTCATTGTCCCTTAACTTTATTTAACAAGCATTTTTCTGTGCTGCAACGTGTGTATGCTCCTCATTGTAAAGGCTGTTGGATGGATGGCCTGCCATTTGGATGGTCCATCTTTGATTCAACCATCTCTAGTTGCTGGGCAGAGAACCAGTTTTTGCTGGTGTAAATAATGCTCCCATGAACTCTGTGCATGTGGTCTGCTCCATCGCTTGGATCGCTCCCAAAGGGACGATGTTTGCCCCAACTGCTCCCCTGCTGTGGTCCTGGGAGGTCTCACCACCTGTCACATTTCTGTGTGGGGTGGGTACTGTATCAAAGAAACCACTCTAGACCAATTAGGTCTGCCCCTTCCCATCTGCTGGAGTGTTTATAGCCTCAACCTGAGTGTTTGCAGTCAAAGCAACAAAACCACCAAGTGGGGCATCCACTTGAGGTCAGCGCCTGGGGAGGGGAGCTGAGCATGCAGGTTGGAGTCAGCTGGGGCATGCAGCTGCCCTGAGCTATGCCTCCACAGAAGGAGCACTTCCAACAGTGGGCAGGAGGGCAGACCCAGGGGGAGTGAGCATGTGATGTAGGAATGAGGTGAATGTTGAGGTCGGGTTAAAGGAGGAGAGATGGGATGTCCTGGCTTTGGGGAACTCGGGCGTGGCTGGGGACTTGCACAGACACTGCTCAGACCCCTGCCTTCCACTGATGAGGCTTTCCCCCTCCCTTCCTCCCTGTCCACCCTTACCCTCCCCTCCCTCCCCTCTCTGGCCCTTGTCACCTGAGTTCGGTGGTTCTTTTGCAGAGTCCGGTGTTGCAGTATCTCTACTACCTGGCTCAGATCCCCATTGCCATGTCTCCCCTGAGCAACAACAGTCTGTTCCTCGAATATTCCAAAAACCCTCTGAGGGAATTCCTGCACAAGGGGCTGCACGTTTCCCTCTCCACTGACGACCCCATGCAGTTCCACTACACAAAGGTGAGGACCTGAGGGGAGGCGAGGGCTGCAGGGGTCCCAGCAGGCACTGGTCCCGGCCTGGCCTCCCAGGGCAGCACCTGAGCGCATGGCTCAGTGCTGCTGTCAAGGTGAGGGCAGTGGCCCCGTGAAGACAGCAGGTCGGCTCCTGGTGAGAGAAGGAAGTGTTCTTCCAGGAGCCCTCTTTTGGGGTCTTTGAAATCTTGAAGGTACAATTTTATTTCCTTGCCTTTCTCTGGTTTACTAGCTCCGTGATGCTGGTAAAGTTACTTGATGTTCTGTAACTTATTCTTCTTCGTGTGTAAAATAGGGAAACAATTGCCTCACATCTACCTATCAACTGCAGTGTGAGGAGGCTTCGTTAAGATGGTGAAGAGCCTAATAGAGCATCTGCGTGTAGCTTGCATTCAAAATGTTGGCTACCGTTTTTCTTAATAATGTTATTATTATTATTATTATTTTAAAATATATTTTATTGATTTTTTTACAGAGAGGAAAGGAAAGGGATAGAGAGCTAGAAACATTGATGAGAGAGAAACATCAACCAGCTGCCTCCTGTACACCCCCTACCAGGGATATGCCCGCAACCAAGGCATAATACATGCCCTTGACCGGAATCGAACCTGGGACCTTTCAGTCTGCAGGCCGACGCTCTATCCATTGAGCCAAACGGTTTCGGCAATAATGTTATTCTTGTTACACTTTGGATCTCTGGGGAAAGGGAAGAAGAAGAAGGGAAAGGCGACGTCATGCCTGGGGACCAGTCATGAGCGAGCCAAGCACATTGTGATGGTTATTGATAAGACAGCCACCAATTAGTGAAAACAGAAGTCCCAGAGTCTTCCGGGACAGGCTCTCCAAGCTTTGGTCTAAGATCCCTTTATACTCTCCAGAATGGAGGCCCTCAGAGAGCATGAGTTATATCTAGTAATAAACCTATTAAAGGTTAACATAAATAGCTATTTTTATGGAAAAGACAAAACAAAACAAAACTGTATTTCCTAAAATAAAAAAAATACTGAGAATGGCCCTGTTTTACATTTTTGCAAATCTCTTTTAATAGAAGACAGCTGGATTCTCATATCCATTGTGATAAATTATTTCTACCAAAGTATAGGAAGAAAACCTTCCCCTTTCCAACTACATATTTTTGGAAAAGGGAGGACCTTTTAAAAGGCCTTGGGGACCCGCAGGGATCCTGGGACCACATCTTAAGAACCGCTGCTCCGAGGTAGAGAGGCAGTGGGTAATGGAAGGGCTTGGGTTAGTCAGACATTTCACAGAATACCAAGTGATAGCACAGCCCAAACCCAAATCCTTTGGGGATTACACTGTCTCACTGCTGGTACTGATCATTTCTCCTCCTTATTTAAGGCTCCATCTCTGCTCTTTGTAGGGTACTCTGATTACCTTTGACGTTTGGACAATCTTAAGGAAATGGTCCGTTGAATAAATAACAAAGCTGTGAGCAGGTACTGAAGGAGTGCCTGACCTGGGCGACTGTCCCAGGAGAGCAGGCAGATGTCCCCATGACCAGCACAGGGCTTCAGACATGTGCTGTTAACAAACACCTGCATGGGTGTTCTCCGATCTCTCTCTCCTTGGTACCCTAAGATTTCACACACAAGAAGATCTTAGGGGGAGGACGCTGTTTGATTATCCAGGTGCCAGACATGAAAGAAAAATTAGATCTGCAGATTAGTCTGATGTTTCTAGCTTTGGAAATCTGTGCAGCATTGAAATGGATATTCTGACATCTATAATAATACATTCACTTTGGGGGGACTCTAGGAAGCACTTATGGAAGAATATGCGATTGCTGCTCAAGTGTGGAAGCTGAGCACGTGTGACCTGTGTGAGATCGCCAGGAACAGCGTGCTGCAAAGCGGCCTCTCACATCAGGTACGTGTGGCGGCGCTGTCCCTCCTGGCCTTTAGACACCTGCACAGTGAATGCCTGCTGACCCGGTACTTCCTAGGCTCTGGGTTCAGCGATGAAGGGGACGGGCAGGGTCTCTGTCACATGTTCTGGGGGAGAACCCCGGGGAGGAGACTTTCGAATTTTCCTGGTTGCTCTGTTACCTTTTCCTCTACTCAAACGTCACCTCCTCAGAGGCCTTCCTTGGCCACCCATTCTGCAATAGACACACTTAGCTTTCTCTGTCCATTTTCTCTTTCCTTCATGTTATTATTACTGATGTTGTAATATGTAGTTATGTGTTTTTCTGTCTTTCCCTCTGGAATGTAAGTTCCATTATAGCAGATGCTGTTTGTTCAGCATTATATCCCTAGGCTTAGGATAGCCCCTGGCACATACATGCCCTTGTATTTTTTTACTAAAGGCACACCTAGGTTGAATAAAAACTCTAGGGATGGGACCTGGACATCAGTAGCTTTTTACAGCCTCCTAGGTGATTCTGACGTGCAGGGTTGAGAACTATTGCTCTAGATTAGGGGTGTCGAACTCAATCAGAGAAGGGGCCAAAATCTAAAATCCAGCCTAAATCGCGGGCCGAATGGTTTACCGAACAGTCATAAACTGACAATGTTAACCAGAAATGTGAATTTAAAATGAGTGGAACAATCTTTTCCTTAACAGTGCTGTTTACCAACTCACATGCTATCAAGGATTTGGCCCGCGGGCCTTGTGTTTGACGCATGTGCTCTAGATGGTGTCACAGGTCCCAGGTACCTCCTCTGTGTGATGTCACTGGTACAGGAATAGGGCTGCATCAGTGCTTCTTCTTTTTAAAAAAAAAAAATGTTTTTTTTTTGTTTGTTTGTTTGTTTTTTACAGAGAGGAAGGGAGAGGGATAGAGAGTTTGAAGCATTGATGAGAGAAACATCGATCAGCTGTCTCCTGCACACCCCCTACTGGAGCTGTGCCCACAACCAAGGTACATGCCCTTGACTGGAATCGAACCTGGGACCTTTCAGTCCACAGGCAGACGCTCTATCCACTGAGCCAAACCGGTCCCGGCGGTGCTGCTCTTTTGATGCTGATGCAGAGGAGTTAAAGGGTGCAGATTTAGCGTGTGCATTTGGTTCCTTGGACTGGCTTTCCCCAAACTCCCGACTGTCTGCCTTTGTCAGCTCTCAGGAGGGACTTCTTAAGAGTCTTTACCTTGCCATTTTCCTCACCAGCAGGAATTGTTCCTTTCTGATCAAGTAAGGCATAGGCAGAGATGAAGGGAGTGAATGTGGTTGTCAGGGTGACATCCCTGAGGACCTGGGGGCCAGGAGGAAATTACTGAGCCCCATGGGGAAAGATGCCCTGATGGGGGACCTGCTTCAGGGGCACGTCTGATTTGGTGTGGCTGACTGCCAGAGCCGCCGTGGGGACAGAGAACGTGAATCTAAGGTGTACTGATTGATTTGTATTTCTCTTGGGCCACAGGAAAAGCAGAAGTTCCTGGGACAAAATTATTATAAAGAAGGACCTGAAGGAAATGATATTCGAAAGACAAACGTTGCTCAGATCCGGATGGCATTCCGATACGAGACCTTATGCAACGAGCTCAGCTTCCTGTCTGATGCCATGAAGTCAGAACAGATCACAGCCCTGACCAAGTAGGTCTAACACTGGACATGCATTGTAACGTCCTGGTTTAATCTCACGTCTGCTATGATTGCCAGTGGTCAGGATACCACACTGGGACTTTCCTCCCGGGAGAGAATGCCTCTGAAGAACCTTCAAACCTAGTGATTTTGGTTGCACTGTTCACTTTAAGACCTGACATGTCCACTTCTGTTAGTATTTCAGAGTAATACATGGCGACTGCTCCTTGGGGATCTGGGAGATAGACAGTTGTCTGTACTCATTCCTAATTTTCCAAATCTCTCTCTTCAAACCACTAGTGCTTGCATTGTTAGGGCCAGGCTCTTCCACGATTCAAGTGGCTACTGACATGGGGTCCATGTGGTTTTCTGCCACAGTCCACTATAGGCCCTCCAGTCTTTGTGGTAGGTGGCTGCCTTAAACAAAATCAACTTCAAAGCTCCCTTTCATAAAGGAGCTACTTAGAGAGAATTAAAATAGACAACTTCTGCCCTGGCCGGTGTGCTCAGTGGTTAGAGTGCTGGCCCCTGAACTGAAGGGTTGTGGGATCGATTCCGCTCAAGGGCATGTACTTGCTCCAAGTTCAGTGTGCAGGAGGCAATCAATGGATGTGTCTCTCTCACATCGATGTTTCTATCCCCTCCCCCTCGCCCCCCCGCTCTTTTTCTACTCTAAAATCAATGGGGAAAAATATCCTATTAACCTCCCCTCTCCCCCCCCAAAAAAAGACTTCTTTGCATTTTTGATGAATTTCTTAAACTATTTTATTTAGATCACCTCTCTCTTTTCTACTTAGGAAGCCAAATGTGCACATTGCAACAGTCACTTCTGATCTGTGTCTTGGTTTCCTCATTTGAAACATGAGGGTTTGGACTAGATGAGAGATTTTCACATAGAGGTCTTGAATCTCCCTCCCAATTTCAGGGTGGGAGAGGGGAGGGGAATGAGATTCTGGGCGTTGCTTTTGCTTCTTCTTTGGGACTTGTACATATTTCATTTGAAGTAAGGATTTTGAAAAGCACCAGACTAGATCATCTCTGTTCCCTTCTGGCTCTAATAGTCTACGAATGATTGTAGCCCAATTATCATTTTGCTTATGAAGAATTAGGGCCAGAGAAGTGAGATTTATTTAAGGTCACACAGCTAATAAGTAATAGGACTAGAACTAGGTTTCCCTACTCCTAATCCAGTCCTTTCTCCACTATTCCACAAGACCTCACAGAAGTTCTTTTATCACTGAAACCCGATGCATTTATTTTTCCTCCCTTACCTAACACACGGACTTTCCCCCAATATATAAGTGGTCCCAGCGGTCAGGTAGAAAAGTATTTTTTAAGTCCAGTATGAATTTAAGCTTTACCAATGTACTCTTCATCTGTGTTACTTGTGCCTGGTACATAGTAGGTGCTCAATAAATGTATGTTGAATAAATGACTTTCTCTTTTGGCAACCTTTTAAGAATATATGCTCCTAGTACAAGCTGCTCAAGGACCTTCTTGTTTATTTCTGTGTGTGAGCAAATACAGACTATGGGAAATCCAGAATCATGTGATTGGAAGAACCCTATTTTAGCCTGTGAAAGTGCTTATCTGACTTTAGATTTTCTTGTCCTGTGACTTTATTTTATAATGCATGTCCCCTCCACTGGTCTACAGAACAATAAATGTAGTGTTTTCTTTTTAACTTATATGTTACATATAACTTATATGACAAACATATATTCTATCTTATCACTAATCAAGAAATTGAGTGAAAACACGGCATTTATCTTAGGCATTTGTTATTTTTGAAAAGCCCCCATTTATATACATTTGCCCTATCATTGCAAGCATTGTACAGTTTTTTTTTTCATTGTCATTTTATCTGTATCAAGTATTTGTTTGTAATTATTAAATAAAGTCTGTTAGGACTATGGCTCCATAATTTAAAACTATTTCAACTTAATAGCGTTTAAAGCAAATGTTTAAGTCTTTTACTGTAAGAAAAGACTGGCTATCAGGGAAAACTATCAATAACTACTAATTCATTTTGAACCTAAGACTGAGACATAAATGACACTCACTAGGAAAAAAAATTTTCAAACTAGAGCTCACTAGCCCAGAAAGTAAACCTTTGCTATCTTCCTCTCTAACTTCTTCCAGGCACTTCGTTTCCCTTTCCACAGATATTACTTTCATCTGTTCAGCCGGCACTTACTGTAAAAATTTTACCTGTCCTGTGAACTTTTCAGACACCTTCCTTTTTCCTATAGTACTTTGTACTTTTATTACATTATTGTACAATATATAACTGGCCTTTTCTTGGGGGAGGTGTGAATCCGACTTTCACTTTGACAGCTGGAATCAAAGGTAATTGTATATTATCCCATGTTTTTAAAATAACGGTGTTTGAGTATGTTATCTCTTACTCTAAAAGGCTCAACTTCACATTATGTGTTGAACTGCACTGCTGAAATTATCATTATTGTTGCCTTTTGTCTTATAAAAACAAATCACAACTCCTCCTAGGTTGGCATTTACCAAGGCCTGTCCTGGGCCTTTATTCCTCATCCTGGATTAAAGCAGAATTGCAAACCACCCCTCTGAGTGCTGTGTAGGTGAAACAATATTCATCTTTTTCTGGATTTTTAGGCACAGCTGAAGAGCTATGTTGATAATATAACTAAGTATTCTATACCTGAACAATGACCATTATAAAGAACAAGTGTAATACTATGCTGCAGTAAAAAAGGAGTTCTTACCATTTCCAACAGCATGGATGGAGCTGGAGAGCATTATGCTAAGTGAAATATGCCAGTCAGAGAAAGATGATCATCACATGATCTCACTCATTTTTTGAATATAATGAACATAAACTGATGAACAAAAATAGATGCAGAGACAGAGAAACGTCGATCAGACCATTAAATCTCAGAGGGAAGGTAGGGGAGGGTGGGAGTGAGGGGGAGACATCAACCAAAGGACTATATGCATGCATATAAACCTAACCACCAATGGACAGACAACAGAGGGGTTAGGGCATGAGTGGGAGGGATGGGGGAGGGAGGGTAATGTGGGAATAACACATATGTAACACCTTAATAAATACAATTAAAAAAAATAAGTGAAACTAACTACAATAAAAAGGAACACTAATCAGGCAGATATAGTTCCTTAGGAATTTTTATTCCCTAAACCTCTAAATAAATATCTTAATAGAAAGACAGAGGGTGCCAGAGAGTAAGACTATACACAGTTGCAAGATTAAACTATATCTGAAGGCTTTTATGTCTTTTGAGACCAAAATGTGTTCTCCATGACGACATATATTAGTAAATTTAATTATAAACTACCACTTCTTATAAATGACTTTTCTCAGCACTAAAATTCTACTATGCTGCTCAAATTACATTAATTTTATCTTAAAAATAATTTTATAAGTAAACATCAAAACTGTCATAGGGCCAAAACCCGTTTGGCTCAATGGATAGAGCGTTGGCCTGCGGACTGAATGGTTCCAGGTTCGATTCCAGTCAGGGGCATGTGCCTTGGTTGTGGGTACATCCCCAGTAGGGGGTGTGCAAGAGGCAGCTGGTCAATGATTCTCTCTCATTGATGTTTCTAACTCTCTATCCCTCTCTCTTCCTCTCTGTAAAAAAAAATCAATAAAATATATTAAAAAAAAACAAAAAACAAAAAACAACTGCCATAGGATCTGGCTGGCATGGGCTCAGTGGTTGAGAGTCGACCTATGAGCCAGGAGGTCATGGTTTGATTCCCGGTCAGGGCACATGCCTGTGTTGTGGGCTCGATCCTGTGTGGGGCGTGGAGGAGGCAGCCGATCAATGACTCTCTCTCTTAAAAAACAAACAAAAACTGTCATAGTATGGAATATTTTTTCAGTTATTTTTAAAAGATAAGAAAAATGAAAATCTGCTGTAAACTGTGTTATACTGTCATTGTGTTGTCCAGCATAAATATGGTCGATCAGTTGATTTCCCTGACCTCCAAGTAGTTTTCTTATTCCTGGATAAGCCTGACTTAATGAAGAAGAAACCAGTAAAATGCAAATTCTTCAGACTTCCTTTTAATAAATCACTGAACCAAGAGGTACTTTCAAGAAGGCTTATTACTCAGGTATATATTAGGTATAAGAAAATTGAGTCCAATTTGAAATGAATTTTAAAACATAATACACAAACATCACAATCCCCCAGAGCACAACACAAAACAGTCCTGTAGCATTTGGCACATGAGAATGTGAAACTACATGATAAGAAAAAATCTCTTCAATGTAAAATTTATTTGTTAAAGATTATTTATTGCATAATATATCAGTTTATCCTAAGAATAAAACAGATACTATTATTATCCACTTCTAAATTCAGTACATAGTCAAATCTGTTTCCTTAAACTAAAGTTCTATAGCACTGTAATATGAGTCAAACCTTTGCTATTGAATTAGGAGAGGAAAAACTTTACAACATAAAATAAAGGCACACATTATACTTCCTATCATAAGTGCATTTAAGTACTTCATAATTAAAAAAGACAAAGCTGTACAGAATACAAAAAGTGTACATTTCATCCATTAACACATTTACAACTTTGTATGAGTAGTTATTATAACATACCTAATATTCACATCTAAAGAATTATCACCCAGTTTAGTGGAGTGAGCAAAAACTGCTCATTTAGTAGATAAGGCTAATAAAAACATTTGTTTCACAGTAGATCAGTTAGTGTCTTGGAGCTCATATTGAAAAGTAAAAAGGTTTGGGCAATATCAAGTTTCTGTTCTCACTGTTAAATAATTCCTTGAAAGGTGAAGGATTCTGAGGGATAAAATCACTAGTTCTACCTGGAGAAGATCCAGAAATCTGTAAAGCAACTGCTCATTTTCAGAAACATTCTTAAATTAGGCAATCTGAACTGGACTCAGTAAGTCTAATCCAAAGAATTTAAAATCTTAGAGCTGAAAAAGATATCAGGGGGGTCATCTATCCCAATGTTTTCAAAATATGTTCCATAGAATACTAACGATCATGGAGGAAAATCAGGGTTCTGCAAATTTGACCTGAATTTAATTTTAAAAAAATTTTTGGGAAAATTTAAAAAATAAGTCCCATCATACAACTCTGCTACTCACCAAATTCTCATACATTAGATATCTCCAATGCATTCATACATATTTTCATTGATTGGCTTTATAATATTTAGTATCGTAGTATATGGAATTTACATAAGGAAATTTATATTAATAAAATATGATTTATAAAGTGGTGTACGGTGTGTGCGTACATGTGTGCACATTCAGCACATGGAGCTAGAGGTTCGAGTAAGATTTTACTTTGGGGGGGAAAAAAGATTCTACTGCTGAAATAAAAGTGTGAAAACCACAAATAGAGTCTCAGTTTCTAAAGTATGAGCCTACAAACCAGAGGAAGGGACTTTCTCAAGGTCACATGACCATAAAAGGCATTGCCAGGTCGATATGACAGAGCCCTCAGTACTCTGCACAAATATCCAGTGAGTGTTTAGCTACTTGGTACTGACCTGCCCCCATCATGAATGTCAACCAGTTCATTATCAGTATTTTGGGGGTAAAAATCAAGCCATATTTAGTTAGACATTTTGCTTAGAAATGAATTTTTTAAATTTGCATGCCTATTAAAAAAATCCTAGTATCCAAAAATTTTGCCATCAATATGAAGCAACTTAAAATTGTATACTTTGGTACTTCACAATATATTTGTAACTTATCAACAAGTCAGAAAAGTTACATGGAATGTTAACATTATTTTAAAAGGAGACATCAGGCCCTGATTTTATTATATGCTGATATCATAATGTTTAACATAAAACAAAAATTTACTTTTTAAGTAAAAATTTAAAAAATGGTTGAAATGCCACTGAACATTATAATTCTTTCAAAGTATTTCAAAGAAAGTGGAATGAACGGTAAGAAAACCAAATTATCTCCTAATTTTCAGAGGTGTTTTATGTACTTATTGTTAAAAGGTTTGATCCTATTTTCTTCTTTCTTAATCTAAGAAGTCTGAGATGACCTCAGTAAGATGCTTTCAAGTTAAAATAAAAGCACCATAAACTAATATTGAATGATTCGCAATAATCTGGACATATAACATTTAAAATCTGTGATAAAAATTTCCTTCTGAAACTCCAAGACACATGAGCTTTATCAAAAACGATTTAGAACAGTTCCCCAGCTGTGGAAAAGCATTTCTAGAAGATTCCCCAGCAGAAATCCATTTACAAGGCAAAATCACACTAACTTTTAGTCTTCACCCAAATTATACAGCGTGAGGGGGAAAAAGGCTTTTAAGTAAAAAATATGTAGTTTCAAATGCACAGCTAAAGTTATGAAATAACTGTGGATCATTTCAAGTAATAATTATTAAAGGAGCAATAATTAACCACAAGGGGGCATACATACTCCTTAGATTCCAGCAGAAAAACTAATTTAAGTAGTAACATGCACTTTGACGTATTCTACATTTTCAGTCTTATAAAATTTTCTCTCAGATGGCTACAACTTTTTAACATTTATGGTTTATTTTATTTTATTTATTTAATCCTCATGCGAGGATACATTTTTCATTGATTCAAGAGAGAGAGAGAGAGAAAGGAAGAGGGAGATAAACATCGATGTGAGAAACATCGACCAGTTGCCTCCCATATTTGCCCTGACTGAGGATCAAACCCACAACCTGGGTATGTGCCCTGACTGGGAATCAAACCTGAGACCCCTTGGTGCATGGGACACTCTAACCACTGAACCACTTTGGCCAGGGTTATGGTTTATTCCAGAATGCTCCTACCCTGAAAAATAGTAGTGTTTCAGAAGCCTCTGGAAATGTTGCTATTACTGCAGCAAAGGATTCAAGAGCAATTAGTTCTAATAAGTTATATTAGAACAGATAAATAATAGGAAAATAATGGTCTAGAACAGTAGCAAATTTTAATTTACCATAAATGGAAGACATAAAACGTTTATCAAAAGAAATGGAACAAATTATCAGGAAAGCGAAAATAAGAGGGTGGAGAAAAGTGAGTTCTCGCTGACTGCGCCACAACATCCCTGCATTCTTTCCCCATGACCAAGTGTTTGTAGCTCACAATAGCAACAAAACACTTCACTCAAGGTCACGGTCTGTGGGGCTGGCCTGCCTCATCAGCCATGTTAAGAATATAGTTAGCCATATCATCTTCAGTGGGCGCCTCTGACACCACCCAGGATTCATTTGCTCCAGTCATCTGCAGGCGACAAATAGGGCAATTCCTGTGTCGATCACTCCTGTTAGAGAAGTCAATTAAAAGAATAGTTCTTTTTCTTCTTTTTTAAAAACAGGTTTGTTTGAAAAGTAATACATATACATGTTTTTTTAAAAAGTAAAAAGCATAAAAGTATACAGTGAAAAATAAATCTCTCCCTCCAACCCAATCTTTAATTCTTATCCCCAGGGGCAACCACCACCAGTTTGTCAGTATGTCCTGTAGGCCATTATGTATCAGTGCACCTTAGAGCTGTCTATTCTTTTAAGCATGCATTGTATGAAAAGGCCACCTTTTATTTAATTAGTCTCCCACAGAAGGACATTTAGGGTTTTCCCTTTCTTTTGCCACTACAAACAACAAAATGGAAGAATTCAAGATTTAAAATAAAAGATAACTCTACATGCAGAATAATTTTCCTGACGGAAAAAGAGCTTATATATGATCACTTAAATAAGATTATGTTTTTCAAAGGGTTGTTTTTTGTCTTGTCAAACATTAATTTGGAAATTTCAAAACTACCGTATTTGAGCAAGAAACATGTCATGCAAGGAGAATGCTTTTCTCTTCATCTCTCAGTGAAATCTGAGACTAAAGTAATTAAATTATATCAATTGCTCTTTGGCCGTTGTACAAAACTAAGAGATCTGTTTCAAAACTAAATGTGAAAGCTAGAGCTGGCATATATTATTCAGATTCCTTTCTGGTTCCTCAGAGAGAGATACTTTACAAAGATAATTATGTGTGCTCTTCTGTGCGCACAAGTCACAACTTTAAAACAGTCAACTTCTGCTTCTGGCAATAGGGACCAGACAACACAGGACAGTAATTCCTGAGAGGTGGGAAGCAGAGAAGGTGAGCCCTACAACTGCCCCAGCTTACTGCCTTGAGAGTTTCTAGGCCACAGAGTAAGCTGGGAACCCAGATGGAACTTGGCAGGCTCCTCCCCTAGTTGAAGGAACAGAGCTGAGAGTCTCAGGAGGTTAAGGCAGCTCCGAGTTACAGAGCAGAGAACTGGTGTGGAGAAAGTTGCACAAAGGGAGAATTCCCGAATCTACAGAGGGTCCCCCAGAGTATCTTCAGCAGAGTGTATGCATGTGAGGAAACTACTCCAGGCTGAAGAATCACCCAGAAGTATTTGAGAGGCCAGTACTCAAAGCTCACAAAGGGCCTGGGATATTGCCTGTTCCCACCAGCCAGACTGGAAAACCTCATAATTCACAGAGCATGGAGTACTCTGAAAGGTCTTGCCTCATTAGTGGGACATAATGTGTTCTAAGCTAAACACTGCTCTAGTCCTGCCTAACAAATTATCAAAGCAAGATCCAAAAGGATTAAATTGTTTCCAAGTAACTATATCCCAGAACAAAGCTCAAGAATATTTATAGGAATATAAAAATATCCAGCACCCAAAAAGGTAAAAATCACAATGTCTGGCACCCAATCAAGAACTACCAGGCAAAAAAAGAAGCAGAAAAATGCAACCCAAAATGAAGAGAAAAATCAGTCAAAACCAATTAGGAATTGACACAGATGTTAGAATTAGCAGAGAAGAAAAGGAAAGGTTATGATAATCATATTCCATATATTTTAAAAAGAACTAGAAGAAGGACCATACACATTAAGTAGAGACATAGAAGATATTAAAAAACTTTTAGAAATGAAAACTACAATATCTGAAGTAATAAATATACTGGATGCAAATTAATGGCAAGCTAGACACTGTAGGAAAAAAAGATTAGTAATTTGAAAAGGCATTGCAGTATTAATTATTCAATCAGAAAAAATGACTAAAATTAGAAGAAGAAAAAAAAGAGCATCAGTGATCTGTAGGACAACTTCAAATGGTCTAACATATGTGTAGCTGCAGTCCCAGAAGGAGAGTGGAAAGAACAGAAAAAAATATTTGAGAAATAATGGCTGAAACATTTCCAAAATTGATGATACCACAAACCTACAAATCTAAAAAACCCAATGAACCTAAAGCACAAGGAATGGGAAGAAGACTAATCTAAGGCACATTATAATCAAAGTGCTCAAAACCAGTGATAATGAAAAACAATCTTAAAAACAACCAGAGGGGGGAAAGTACAATACTCACATAGGAAAAAAGGATGATAGAGATTTCTCATAGGCGACAATGCAAGAAAAATGAGAATAAAGCAATATCATTTAAGTACTGAAAAAAAATACTATCAGTCTAGAATTCTCTATCCAGAAAAAATATTTTTAAAATGATGTTTAAATAGACATTCAAGAAAATCCTATAAACCTACAAAAAAACATGAAAGGTTGCAGAATACGCAACTGATATACAAAAATCAATTGTATTTCTAAATACTGTACTAATGAACAATTATAAACTGAAACTTAAAAATATCATTTGGAATGGTATAAGAAACAAAAGTACTTAGGGATAAATCTGTCAAAGATATGCAACAATGAAGACTACAAAAATCGATAAGAAAAATTAAACAAGACTAAGTAAATGGAGAAATAAACTGTTTTGTTTTTTGTGGATTGGATATTATTAAGTCAGGTCTCTGAATTGACTATAACGCAATCCCAATCAAAATCCTTACAACTTCTTTTGTAGAAATTGACAGTTGATTCTAAAACTCACATTGAAATTCAAAAGACTTAGCATAGTCAAAATAATCTTAAAAAGGAAGGAAGTTTGAGAACTAACACTTCCTGATTTTAAGACTTAATAGAAGCTAGATAATAATCAAGGTATTACAATAATGGTGTGAAATAGGTGAATAGATCAGTGGACCAGAATAGAACCTAGAAATATACTCACATGTATTTGAACAATTGCTTTTCAACAAAGATGCAGAGGCAATATAGTGAGGACAGTCTTTTCAACAAAATGTGATGGAGCAACTGGAGCCATACGTAAAAAGAGAATTTTGATAGAAACCTCAAACCATATTAAAAAAAATAACTCAAAATGGGTCATAGTCCCAAATGTAAACCTAAAAACTATAAAATTTTCAGAAGATAGACAAAGATTTCTTAAATACGACATTAAAATCACTATCCATAAATCACAAACTGATATATTGGACCTTGTCAAAATTAAAAACTTATACTCTTTGAAAAATATTCTTAAGAAAATGAAAAGGGAAATCACAAAATGGGAGAAAATTTTTTCAAATCATATATTTGATAAAGGATATCTATCTATGTATATAAAAGCCTAATATGTAATTTGTCCCCTCGGGAGTTCAACTGGGAGTTGATCACTTGCTATGACATGTGCTGACCACCAGGGGGTGGTGTGAAATGAAGGAAGGCCACAGCTGGCAGCTGGAAAGCTCTAATCGGCCCTGATGGCTGGCCAGGCCTAGGGACCTGACATTCGTGCACAGACCTCTAGTATAGCAGTTGCCACCCAGTGGTCCGTGGACACTTCACCAGAGAAGATATATGGATGGTAAATAAGCACATGAAAGATGCTCAAAATTGTCGATACAGAAATGTAAATTAAAATCACAATGAGAAAACACTATACAACTACAGAAGGGCTAAAATGAAAAGGACTGATCAAACTAAGTATTGACAAGGTTGTGGAGCAATTGCAGCTCTCATAGACTGCTGGTGAAAGTGTAAAAAGGTACAACCACTTAGAAAAACAGTTGGCAGTTTCTTAAAAATTTAAACATACCTACCACATGATCTAGCCATTCCACTCTTGGTTTTTATACAAGGAAAAAACACACACAAATATATGTTCATAAAATGTCTTGCCCACAAATATATAGAAAGCTTTATTTGTGAAGCTAGTGAGTCTGAAAATTGACATGATTTTAAAGTAGTGAAGAGAGATAAGAAAGTATCTGTGACTTCCATATCAACATAATATAAGCAAAAATCTCTGATTCCTATTATTGACTTTGTCACAGACACTAAACTTTTTTGGGAAAGGGAAGTTTTATATCATTTTTAAAATATATTTATTGATTTTTTACAGAGAGGAAGAGAGAGGAATAGAGAGTTAGAGACTCATCGATCAGCTGCCTCTTGCATACCCTTTACTGGGGATGTGCCAGCTGCCTTGACCGGAATCGAACTTGGGACCTTTCAGTCCACAGGCTGACACTCTATCCACTGAGCCAAACCGGTTTTGGAATGAAGTTTTATATCTTTTGATTATCATGTAGTTACGTGGTTGTAAAAATTTGTTAAAATGTAAATATATATGTAAAATGGGCAATTTTATTGTGTGCGTATTATGCTTCAATAAAGTAGCTTTTAAAGGTTAAAAAATATTAATTTAACAGATATTGCCAAAATGTCCTCCAAAGCAGTTGTACCTAATTTATATACTGAACAATAATATATAAAAATGCGTTTCTCCACAAGCTTGCCAAGACTGTATGTGCTAAAACCTTGTCCTTCTTATAAGTGAAAGTGGTTTTGTAATATTGTTTTATTTTTTACTTATATAATGATAAAGGTAAATGTCTTTCAGATGATAATTGAAGAGATCTAGATTTCATACTTTTGGATAGATAGGCAGGTTTTGGGGGAAGGGGGGAAGTAGTGCTTTTAGCTTCTAAATTTGGAGATTGCATTTTCATTTATTTTAAAAAAGCAAAAAAAAAAAGCTTTATTTGTAATAGCCAAAAATTGGAAACAACCCAATGTCCATCAACAAGTAAATGGATAAATAAACTCTGGTATCCATACAATGAATACTACTCAGCAATAAAAAGGAACTACTGACACATACTACAACATAGGTAAATCTCAAAATAATTATATTGAATGAAAGGAGGCAGACAAAAATAGGTTATATATGATTTCAGTTATAAAAATTTCAGAAAATCCAAATTATTTTATAGTGACTGAGAGCCGAGTAGTGGTTGTCTGGGCACTGGAAGGAAGGGGTGGGAAGAAGATTTTAGAATGGGACACAAAGGAACTTTTTGGGGTTTTCACATACATTATCTGTATGAAAGATGTGCATGTGTACACATGTCACAACATCAAACTGTACCTGAAGTATAATTAATTTTATATCAAATATAAATTCTCCTAAATGAGATTCTTATTTATAAAATACTAATGAGCTTGACCAGCTGATCTCTCAAGTTCCCTCCAGGTCCAATTATTATTTCTTCTAATCACACATAAAGGAACAATGCAGAAATAAGAAAAAGAGAAGTATATGATTCTGGCTCAAGTCAAGCACAAATCTCCTTACAAGGAAAAGTAAACTGCCCAAACTAAAATACACCCCCACATTTTATAAACTTTAGGTATAAAAATATTTTAACCATTAGGAGACGTGTCATAAAGTCCGAAGTGCTAAAGAACAAAATCTTATACTTAACTACAATATTTTTATATATTTTTTGAAGTTTATTCATATACATATTCCCATTTGACCTTTGCCTATTCCATGAAGACACCAGATAACTTACCATTTATCAATGCACTTCTGACAAAAGTTGTGAGCACAAGGCAGGATGAGGTCAGCTCGACCATCCATGCAGATACAACACTCCTCCTCATCAGTCAGCTGCTTCACCCTGCAATGTGAAAGCAAAGTTAGAGCAATGATGTTCTCTGCTGTCATTATAGTTTAAACCAGTGGTTGCCAACCGGTGGTCTGCACACCATCACTGGTGGACCATGAGGTCCAAAAGGTTGATGACTATTGGTTTAAACTGTTTCCATCACCTGAAAAAGCAGTATCAAATATCTATGTGCCTTCAGTATAAAGCAAATGACTCATGCAATATCACACTAACTCAACATACTTTTTATGGAAGGCATTATATTAGAGAAGTACTAAGAGGTGCATATTTTATAAAGAAAGACTGAATAAAAGATAAATTCTGCAGTGATTAAAAGGAAAATATGGGCAAAAAAAACTGGAAATATTCAGGTCTTTCTGCAAATAGCTTAACCCATTTAAATCATATTAAATTTATATAAGTGAATTCAACCAATACATGATTTATTCACTATATAGGATACAAAAGCACTCTAAAATATGGATCTTGCCATTAGGGTCTTCCTTTGCTGATGCTGATAATGAGCATATAAATGAAAAAATAGCTTAGTCTTAAGTATCGGGTGCTACAGTAAATACAAAAGATATAGAAAGCACAGTCTTGGTCCTCAATGAGCACTCTCATCTTGGGAAGGAAAGAGATGTTGAATCCTCTACTCCAGACACCATTTAGAGTGCCCTGAATGGGCCAAGTGCCTATAAATATGGTATTTTCCTTTCTTGGAATACTTTTGTGAGTTTGGTAAATTCCAACATCAGTAACTCAGCTCAAAATATCACCTGCCTGTTCCCAAAATCAAAGTGTGCCTTAATTAAAGTACTTACATGTTGTATTTCAACTGGCTGTTTACTGGCTATCTATAAACTTAAATTTTTTTGAATAAAGGGAGTTTATTTTAGGTTCTCAATAAATGTTTCTTGAAGTGTTTTTAATATGTTTTTATCCTTTTTGCTGTCTATTATTATTAGGTTTTGTTCATCAGGCATGTATTACTTTTTTTAAAGATTGAATGTTTTAATGTATAGCCACTAGACTATAAGTTTAAAAGAAGAAGCTACTAGTAACATGTTTTTAATCCTCTGCTGTGCTTATACCAGTGTATGAATATAATATTGAGATGTTACATTAAAATTCATCAATTTGAACGTAAAACATAATATAAGCAAATATCAAGTGTGCATTACATGTAGTAAGATCAAAGTAAAGGAGGAAATGAGTGTATTTTAAACTTATTGGAAAGATTAGATAAAGAAATGATAGGGTTTTGTCAGAAAACATGCAAGGTGAATAAACAAAGCTGCGAAGGTAGAAAAAAACCTGTGTACGCATACATGCATGCAACAAGGAGCCTGGTGTGATGCTCTGGGAAGAAAACTGAGAGAACAGGTTGCTTAAATACCAGGATAGCAAGGAGAATCTGATCCCTGAATATCAAAATGAAAAGTTTAAACTTGTTCTGACTGGCAAACTACAAATCAGAGTTTTATCAAGAGGAAAGTAACACCACTGAAATAATACTTTAGGAAAATGAATTGGGAGTGCAGTATGAGGGACAGTATAGAGGGAGGAAACCCAATTAGATTATTTCAGCAATTCACTTGGAAGATAATTAGGGCCTGGTCTAAGGATCATTATAAAAAACAAATCATCAGGATGTGGTAATAGATGAAATGTTATGCTTTAGTATTGGGCAAAATAGGGTGGCCACTGAATTGAAATGGGGAAATGGAATAAAAATCTAGATGGTGGTGGATCTAATGTATTTTATTTTTTTCTACATATGTTCATTTCAATGTTTAGGTGCTTTTTAGGTGCTATATATAGTGCCAGACCCAGATGACTTAAGAGTCTCTGCTTTTGAGTAGCTTACAATTTACATCTAAGGATGTAGACGTGGGTATCAATAGCAAAGAATATAATTGAATCCACAGAGTGACAGGTTAGAATTTAAAAGTGAGGAACTGAGGGCTATGAAGAACAGCATTCTGGATAGGGGTAAAAGAAAGAACAGGAGACACAAAAGCAGCCAATGGAGCCTGTATAATGTTCACCTGATTTTTTGCTACCTCCCAAGCAGTGAAGTGACCAGAAGAAGAAGAGCTTTGCTCTATTTAACTTGTTAGATCACTTAAAGAGCATTCAGTTCTATGCTGTCTACCCTGAAAGGCACATTGAGAGACAAAGGATTATCCAGGAAAGCCTCCAAGACACAGAAGAGACTCCTATAAACAAATCAGAAGGAACTGGGGATGCTCGTCCAGGAGAACAGAGGCGCAATGAAGATTATTACTGTTTTCAAATATGTGAAAGGCTGGAGAAGAGAACAGACTTTTTTTTGGTAGGATTCCAAAAGGCACTGCTTCTGAAATAAGTAGGCTACAGTAATAATTTAGTGCTAATTAATGCTAGTTAATTCTTACATATTATTATGGGCCAGGTACTATTCTAAGCATTTTACATATATTAACTCACTTAACTCTCTCAAGAGTCCTATGAAACAGATATTATAGTTTCAAAGGAGCTATATTATAGGAAGAATTCATAGTAATTAGAACCATCTGTATATGAAAAGACTTGCTTTTCTGAGGCTATGAACCCCATTTAACTGCAGGTGTTCAAGTTGCACTTTCACTTGGCTAAATGTCATCAGCAGAATCTTACTATTCAAAGTGTTATCCCTAGATCTGCAGCAGTGATATTACCTGCCAGCTTGCTATTGTAGAATCTTAAGCTCCTCCTCAAAACCACTGAATGTCAAAAGTTAGGGAGCACTGTAGTACAGGATCTTTATGCACCAGAGAATAACAATGCAGATTGGAAGCACAGCTGTATTGCCAGACAGGCCTGAATGTGAACCTCAGCTTGGCCAATGTCTATCTATGTCATTTATTTGTCTAAACTCAGTTTCTTCATCTGAGATAGGCCAATAATTGTATTCCTATAGGGTTGTTGTGAGGATTTAATGAGTCTATACATGTAAAGCGCTCATCACAATGCCTACTACCCTAAAGTACTCAATAATTGTAAACCACTAATAGAAATATGCATGAGATGTAAAGCTGAAGCAAATAAATACCTCTTAAGATTCCCTTCAACTTAGAAAGTCTGGTTTTCTATGAACTAGTGTATCAGGGTGTAACTGAAAACCAAAAATCACACAGAAGCAAAAAGCAGCCTTAACCTACTGATCTGGCATTAAATTTTCTAGTCTGGAGGGCACATGAAAAGAAATAATATCCTATCTCCTTCATTAAGATGATTGCAATAGCCGAAACCGGTTTGGCTCAGTGGTAGAGCGTCGGTCTGTGGACTGAAAGGTCACGGGTTCGATTCCGGTCAAGAGCATGTACATTGGTTGCGGGCACATCCCCAGTAGGGGGTGTGCAGGAGGCAGCTGGTCGATGTTTCTCTCTCATCGACGTTTCTAGCTCTCTATCTCTCTCCCTTCCTCTCTGTAAAAAAATCAATAAAATAAAATAAAAATAAAAAAAAAGATGATTGCAATAAGGAGAAAGTATTATTTTCATTTCATTGATTACCATAGAGCTTAAATATAGCAAATACTATTCTTGGCTTTTAAAATACTATGTATAAATAATCATCATTTTGAAGAAGGAGCGAGAAAAGGCAAAAAATCAGATAGTTGTCTTTGAAAGATTTTACAAAATACAGGAAAGATAAGCCTTAACGCTACCTATTCTATATAATAAAAGCCTAATATGCTAAGTGTCCACTTGTCAGTTCAACCAATTAAAGCATAATATGCTAATGATAGGCTAAGGCCGTTCAACTGATCACTATGACGTGCACTGACCACCAGGAGGCAGACAGTCAATTGGTCGACCAGTTGCTATGACATGCACTGACCACCAGGGAGCAGAGGCTCCAACCAGTAGGTTAACTCGCTGCTGGGGTCAGGCAGAGCCAGATAAGACTGATACAACCTGGAGTCCTCCCATAGTCAACTCCCAACTGGCCAATCTCCCACATCCCTCCTTGGCCCCAATTGGGCACCGGTGGGATCCCTCGGCCTGGCCTGTCCTTTCTTACAATCTGGGACCCCTTGAGAGATGTTATAGACAGCTGGTTTTGGCCTGGCCTGCGGGACCCCACTGGTGCATAAATTCATGCACTGGGCCTCTAGTAATGCTATAAAACTCATTTGGAATTTCAGTAACACTTGTACAGCCAAACCTAGAAAACCAAACAATCCTATTAAATTTAAACAGAAAATAATAAATGGAATATACAATTTTACTATAACATAGTATTTGGAGACCAGCTGGTTAAGAATAGACCAGAAAATGCAACTAGAGAAATAGAAGAGAAATTCTTGTTAATCATATTTTTTAACTTTAAGGTAAAAGGAACTGTCAGTACAGGTTTCTGCTGTCTTCTCTGTATAACAATAACAGGATGTCAACATGTCTGGACCCAGGGAAGACTTTCCAATGAGGTGTTTACAAATTTAAATTATGATCATAGTTGTCAAATGGCAACAGGTGGGAGTTTTCACATGCCAAAAACATTATAGAGAAGGAAAAGAAAGTTTAGATAGAACAATAATGTATTAGGCCTGAGTAAACAAGGACCATCATATAAAACTCTGGCTGACTTCATTTCCTTCTGGCACATGCAATATGTATACCAACTACTTGTTCATTCCTGAATGCACTGCCAAATCCTGGAGCCAATATTTACAATTTTAATGCTCCAATTAAAAAACTGGAATGGTTCTGCCATTCTTGGACCTAATTTCCTGAAGGGCTTTGATGTAAGAACCTAAATATCTATTATAAGAGGAGTATTAACTATAATAATTCTTTTGTCATTAAATGCAAGCATGTAGAGAGTGGATTATGGAAATGAAGGTGACAGAAATATTACCTGGCGTAAGCCACTTCAACTTTTCTTCAATTGGGCCTCTAACAATGTCCTTAAGTATATTATGACCCAAAAGCTGATCTGAGATATAATATCAATTGAGACAAAAAGTAATGTGATTTAAGATGTCACAAAGAGCACCAGCAAAAATATTAATAAGATTTCAGTAACTTGCATATTGGAAAATAAGAGAAACATGGTTCTTATATATTGTGTACCTTCCCATCCAAAGACTAGCCTGACAAGATGTTACAGATGACGAGTTTTCATCAGGCTCTTCAGAGGTGGAGGTCTGTGCCAACACTTCTGCTGCTTGACTTGTGATATCTTTATAAAGCTGAATAAACTGGTACAAATTCATGATCCGTGATGCTTCTACAATGCCTCGGCTTTTGTTAATCTAAAAATACAAAGAAAATGGAAAAAAACAATAATAATACACACATATGACTCCCCCAAAAACAAACAAACAAACAAAACAAAACATTGATAATTTCTCTGGTCAATTTTTCCCCAAAAAAGGCGAACAAAAACTAAGTCAAACATCCTAGGAAAGAGAAGTTTGCCAGGTTTCCAACAAAAGAACAAGAATTCTCCTACATTTGTGGGGTTCACAGGAGCTACACAAATTTATCTAATTTGATGTTCAAAATAACTCTGTAGGGTTGATTAGGCATTATCTTATTTAGATTTGTGAGGTCAGGCAACTTTCCCAGACTTAAAAAATGAATTTTAGAGATCAGTATCGACAATTCTCTTCATTTTAATTTCTTAAATGATATCTTAATTAAATGCATTTATTTAAATTCAACAACCATATGCCATTCTACTATAATTGAAACAACAGATTGTTTTCTTGAATATCTTAAGTTCTACTTTATATCCAAACTCCCAAACTAAAGTGAGAAAATTATATTGAAGTAAATCCTAACAAAAAGTGGTTGAGTTTTTCTCAGAAGCCATTTTGAGGTATAATAAAAACTCATTTTAAATGAAATGAACCAGTGTCTACAGCTTGTACTCAGTCTTGCTCTAACTTACATTATAATGTGAGGATATATTTGGGACAGGTGTGAGGGAACAGGTAAGGAGGGATAATATTGCTTTCAGGTGTGATGACTCATGGATTGGGGCATATCTTCACCTTTGAAACGAGCAAAGCCAGTAGGATTGAGGGCAAAGAACACGAATGAATCGACATTACATAAGAGATGCAAAAGACATCCTTTCAGCACAGGAGATGATAAGGAAGACTGTGGGGACAGAAGCAATGAAACCTATTAAGTACATATCAAAATAAATAGAACAAAATCAAAATACTTAGAAAGAAATGAAGAATGCAGGGAGAAATATAGAGAGAGGGCATTAAAATTGTGAATGAAGTAGGTGTTGATGGAACTGGGGATATGAGAAAATGAAGTGTGAGGTTACATATTAAAAAACATTATTATAGCAACATTTCCATATCTGGAATGAAAATAATAATAGTTGCAACTAATATCTATTGTTTACTACTCGAGAAGACAATGAGAAAAACTGAGAATCAAGTATGAATCAGATTCCATGTGTAAAAATAGCAGAACCACTGCTAATTTTAAAAAATTTAATTAAATTTTGGGATGGTAAGATCTTAATGGAAATGCAAATACGTAATATTCTTTGTAATAACAGACAATATGTGCAGTTGAGAACAAATACAAATAAAAGTGATAAGAATTTATAAATTATAAAACAGATTTTCAGAGCTAAAGAAACTGGGCCAAATTTCCTTTGAAAACTGTGTAATTTAGAAGAAATCAGGGAATAATTCACATAGACATAGTATTTAACAGCAAAGTTTATCAAACTGCAACACATTTTTTTTTTTTTCAGTCCTCACCTGAAGATATTTTTTTTTCCTTTGATATATATTTTTTTAGAGTGAAAGGGAGGGAGGGAGACAGAGAAACATAGATGTGAGAGAGACACATCAATTGACTGCTTCCTGCATGTGCCCTGACCAGGGCCAGAGACTGAACCTGCAATCCAGGTACTTGCCCTTGAATGAGAACTGAACCCACGACTCTTCAGTGTGTGAGCGGATGTTCTATGCTCTAACCACTAAACCACACTGGTCAGGGCACAACAAATATTTATTAAGTACACATTACTATTATAGGTAATATGTGCACTGCACTAGGCACTGGTGAGATAGTGTGTATAAAAAGCAAAACCCCTGACCTCATGGAATTTATACTATAGGTAGGAGAAAGACAATAAAATTCAGATTAGATAAAAATGAGTGTTCTGGAGAAGATGAAATGCTAAAGGGTTGGCCTCACAGAGAAGGTGATATTTCAGAACTGAAAGGGGTGCAAGAATGAATCATATCAACATTTGGGGGAAAGATCCTTCCAGGCTGAGAGAATAGGAAGTGCAAAGCCTGTTAGGCAGAAGTGTACCTGGCCAGGAGCATAAGGAGTCCAGCAAGGAGCCGGGGGTGGTTGGAATAGAATGAGGGAGGGAGGAATTGGGAAAAATAAGATTAGGGGGTGAGGTGGGTACAGAATGTATAGTCTTTGCTGATTGTGACACAAAAGGAAAACATCTCCTTACCCACGAGTTCTTTATGGGTTGGTCAGGAATGGACTTCAGGGCATTCATGAATGCCCAATTTACTGTTTATATGCACATGGATGATTTCACATTTGTTTGTTGTAGAGTAGGAGCTGGGATATGAGAAGGCCTAATAAAATTTGTTCCTTCATTTTCGCCAAAAGTTCTGTGGCCTCACAAAGGTTAAAAACCATCTATTCAAATCTACCCATTGGTGGCTGAGGCTTCCTAATACTCTATGACAGCAGTTATTATATTTTTCAACACAGTTGATATACTCAATTATCTAAAATTTAAAGATGAACTAAGACAGTGTATTAATGGTAAAAAATTCATTCTATAATTAAAAATTACTAAAACAAACAAACACACACACACACACACAAACCTTTCTAATGGATTTAAAAGTTATTAAGTAAATAAAACCCAGTGTTCTTAAAAGAAATGATCTCCTAAGATAACTAATTTTTAAAGAGTCATCTTAGAGTTATGCAGGTGTCGCCTTAAGATTACCTAACTAGCTAAATATAAAAAGAGAGGTAGAGGGTTTACTATCACTTTTCTTGATTATAAAAATCTCTGCTATATAGTAATTATACAACCAGTGAGATTCCGTTAACCTGGAAGGTAATAGCAGTACCAAAACTATGTTTTTAATAGTTAATTATAATCAAATTATTAACATTTATTTTAATCATATTATATTACACAATTAAATGTGGTTCTAACCACCAAAATAATTCAAGTTCTGCATTAGAAGTCTCCATCATTCTCACCTTGGTACAGACCACCCGTACAACCACTTTCCAAAAGGCAGAGGCATCAGACCCTGGTTGTACCTCAAAGAGAAGATGTTTATCCTGGCCAGAAGCCACTTTAGCGGTTCTGAAGAGAGACAAACACATTTATTTTATGAAAAGTCATATAAAATAATTGAATCATAAAACTAGATTCAAGAAATACTTTAAATCAGAGAAAAATTTTGAAGAAAAAACACGAAGTCAAATAACAATAATGCTTATAATAATTAGATTCTTAAAACACAGGGATAAAGTTTTAATTAAACATACAACTTAATTTCCAAGGGTTTTAAAGTCAACAGCATAGTGGAGTGATATTTATAAATCTGTTTGTCATATCTAATATCTTAATGGTCTTTAAATTTTTAACAAAGTCATCCATGAAAAACATATCCAAGGAAACAGATATTGAAAAGAAAAACCAAGCTGGTTGCAATTATCCAAATTTGATTACTGCCTCAATGTACATAAAATGTGAAGAAGAAAAAAATCTTGCTTTTGGTTGAGCACTTATTTAAGCAACAATACTAACACATCACTTTGGGGAAAAAGTTTTTAGGTAATGTGGACTGGATCAAGCAAATGCTTTTCAGACACTTTAAAATAGCTTCCCAGGGCAGAGCAATTTTCATCTAGAGAGCCACAGGATTCTAACATAAAAATATGACTTTTAGAGAATACTATTGCCATCAATGCTAATTTAAATCAGTTCAAAGACATACTTAAGTATTACTGTTCCCTTCTATCATTAGTCACATTTCTGTCTGGGCCTCAATGGGGATATCACACCCAGAACTAAGTGACTTACAGCTAAATAAATTGAGGCCACTGAAATAAAGCAACTAGCCTGAGGTAACAAAATCTGTCAGGGAATGTAATTCAACTATGCCAGTTCCCAGTTGTTTTCTAGCTATCAAGCCACGCTTCATCTGTATAGGTTTAGCTTTATTTCTCAGATAGCACTGCACTTACGAATGCCCAACTCCGACCATGAAAATTGGTTTTATGAACCAAATCCAGTCAGAAAATTTCTGTGCTAAATAAACGAGAAGAAGACACTCTTTACCATCACCTCTGTATTACACAGTAAACTTAGCTTACGAATGCTTTCACAGGACACATTTTATTCAGCATCTTTAGACGAAAAGGCAAAATTTTGTTATAATAGACTAGGTTTACATAAGTTCCGAGACCAAGGGATGCTAAAGTTTTAAAAACTGATGGCTACATTTTTATTATGAAAGATCAGACAATACACAAGCACACAGTAAAATGTAAAATCTCCCTTGATGCCCCCCTCCCTGTTTCCACTGACTCCCCAGAGACCCAGTATGCAGCCTCCTAGCTCTTCTTCTATGTATTTACATATATAACAACACAGGATCCACCCATATAAATGCACAGGACTTTAAGAACAAAATAAAATCCAGTGCTCTTAAAAGAAATGATCTTCTAAAACAACTTTAACTTCTAAGACATTCTTTATTCTTCATGACTGGCTAATAACAGTAGACTCTAGTCATGTCCATAAAAAGACTGTATTTCCTTTTCTTTATCTAAATGTGTTCCACATAGCCCAGTATGTTTCTTATCAACCAATTCAGCCATCACAAAGCTAGGGAGCAGGTTCATGTACCCTGCCCTAAGCTATGAATAGGACTGTAAATAGTTTATATTTAGACTAAGTGGGTCCAGACTGCCTGGTGATTTTGATTGGTTTTTTCAGGGTTTAAAGAGAGGTTAGAGTGAGATAGTTAAGGTGGGTTAATGAAAAAAACTTCAGACGTAGGGAGAGCTGAATCTGCCATTAATCCTTGGGCAATCATTTTAGGCTTCAGTTAAAATGTCCAACCCTTAGCACAGTGCCTTATACACAACTATGGGTTCACTGAATGTTAGCTAAATTGAATAGACTTAAGAGAGAACTTCTAAGATCTTATTTAAAAGGCAATTTCATAATTATATGCCAAGAGATACAGAAGATATATATATATATATATATATATATATATATTTATGGGTGCTGCCACAAAAAGACTTACTAGAAGGAAGTGACATCTGCTCATCTGTCACTAGTGGAGAAAACACAGAAAGAAAAAGCAACATTTTAAAAGCATAACAATCTGGGGCCATTTCGGGACAAAGAGCCCTGTGTATGCTCATCTGTCACTAGGGGAGAAAGTACACAAAGAAAAAGTAATATTTTAAAAGCATAATAATCTGGGGCCATTTAGGGACAAAGAGCCCTGTGTATTTTAATAACTGCTATAATAGATTGATATAAAAATTGATAAAATAAAGAATAAATTCACAAACAAAATACTAAATTCTATTAAAATGCTCATTAAGGTAGAAAAATGTATATTCCATTTAAAACATTAATCTATTCAAGAGTTAGAGATTTGAAGATGTTAGCTGATTAGAAAGTATTAATAACTGAAATATCTTATTCTCCTGTGATGATAAATGAATTATTACTATATGTGTATTTCTCTGGTAAAACAATAGCTCTGTGAACAAACACAGAAGATTTATTTATTAACCAGATGAACTGGCTGATATACAGAAACCTGAGTGCTATCCTGGGAAACTTTCTCTAGAGTGACTAATTGGCATATTCTCGTTATGTACCTCTTTAGTGCTTTCAAACAAGAACAATTTATATGTCTGTGTTTAAAATTTAATTTTATGTTCCTTCAATCTCTTTTGTTTTATTACATATTTTAAAATAGCCACATAGAAAGTCTTATAATATGTATTCAATAAATATTTGCTAACTGCTACTGAAAACATTAAGTCATCAATACTTCTGATTACCTCTCATAGGCAGTCATGACATGTGGGCCATACATAAGCAGGAAAATAAAATGAAAAAGAGCAAGCCTTACACATCATTAAGTTCAGCTACTCTCCCAAGAAATTCTTCGTAAGTTAAGGAGCCGCTTTCTCGAACCAATGTGACATGTTTTGCTACTTTTTCTGGTAACTTGTTAAGAACCAACTGTGTCTGATCTGAAATCTGTTGTCCCATGATGAAATGATGTCTTCTGAAATCCAGAAAGAGTGTTGTTTCACATAGTTTCTGTAAATATATATATAAAAGTTACAACATGTAATATAAAAACAGCAATATATCCACCCCTTCAAGAAAATAAAAGAAAAACTAGGAATACATTTGAGTTCAGGAACTAATATCATTTTGCTATTAGCCTTCCTTCTAGCTCAGGGGTGGGGAACGTCCGGCCCCAGGACTGTATAAGGCCCCCAAAATCATTTGGTTTGGTCCTGCCAAGGCATTAGGGGTGAGTTAATTAAATGTTTGACCAAATATAGCAGGCTAATTTTTAAGTTGATAATTTTGTATGACCCTTGATGATGTTATAAGTATCCAAATGGCCCCTGGCAGAAAAAAGGTTACCCACCCCTATTCTGGATCATGGAACACTAGTATTGCATGGGAACATAATTTGCAAACCACCTGGCATAGAATTCAACAAAAGATAAATCTCTGGTCAAGATTTCTCAAAGAACTAGCAGCTCTCATACTACTGTGCCACCTATAATTTAGTCCTCGATAGCAGAATAATGGGCTTTCAAAAAAACATTTGGAAGATTTTAAAAATAAAGAACAACTGTTATTCTGAAATACAAGAATATCAAGGATTCCAAAAATGCCACATTCTTTAGTGGGGGGTAATATACACTTGATCACTTCTTTTTCTAACAATTGAATTGTTGTAGTTCAAATATCCTTTATAAAGATATAAAATCACATCATGGGCAATTGGCAAAACCAACAAACCAACCCCCAAGCCCAAACCCAGCCCAACCCAAAAACATCCGGTAAAATTTAAACCATATCCATTCATAAAAGGGTTAAAGAAAAGTTGAAAATCCTGAAAGTGCAACAAAATTACTAATCCACAAATACTATAGTATTTAGAAAATACCTATACGTAATTGAAATAATTATTTTCATCATGAGGTCAGTAATATTATAAAAAAAAAATCAGTGATAAAAACTAAGCACTAAAAACTAGGTCCCTAAGGATACACTTTTATTACTCATTCCTTACTCAACCTCTGTATCTGCAAGCTGTTCTGCAAGATAAGAAATTAAAGCAGTTACAACAGATATGCAGTGAAACAAATTAGAGTCACTATAGAGTCTGAAATGCCTGTTCTGAAGAAAATTTTTTATAGAAAGAAAAACTACAAAAGGAGAGAGTACTTGGAGATTAAGAATACTGATTTCTGAGAGCATCAATATGTTTACTAAGTACATTACATAGTGTATTTGGAAAAATATACTAGACTTGTAAGAATCCTCTCTGGATCTTCCCTACTTTTTTGGCAGAAGGGTAAGGATAAGTGTGCTAGGTGTTTGTAAGTGAACTAAGAAAGATGGGGATACACACATCAAATACAAAGTTCAGTTACAAGAAATGACAAAGAACGTATTTTTGGAAATCTATAATTATACTAAGTAGGAAATTATCTAGAAATGGCAGCCAGGCAGCATCAAAGAAAAAAAAAAAATCCACACCATTTTTGAGTTCAGAGAGAATCATTTCTTAGAGAGGTGACTTCAATATAGCAGGAACTAATTTAGGGTCTTGGTCCGAGATGCCCCAGATGAAATTCTGAATGGGGGGGAGCTCTCTTCATAGCAGGAAGAACGGATGGAGGGGAGTGGAAAAGAATAACTTTATGCAGGGTCAGCATATGGGCGTACACTGCAATTAAAATAAAGGCGCTGGGGATGGATTTGAATAATAACAGTAGGTCCACATTTTGCAGCAAACATACAAAAAACAATTATTATTAGCAAGGAAACGTTTCGTCTTAGCCGGGTCTCAAGGTAGTTGGTTCAACCAGGTCAGACCTTTGGGAAGAGCAGCAGCCTAAACTAATTTGGAAATGGAAGGCCAGCTACGCTAAGTGGATCGGCTTGGCCGTGTGAGTTAGGGTCACAAGGCAGAGGGATTTTAATCTGGGATGTCCGGGGCGGCGGCGCACACGTGGTTTTCCACATTATCGGTGTGTTTACCAAACACACCGGCCGCCCCCGCCGCCTCGGCCCCTCCTCAAGCGCACTTGAACTTGGAGCTTTTAACCAACAGCCACGTCCGCTACCGACAGACTGCGCAGGCGGCAATATTCAAAAGCGGCTCCGGGCTCGAGAAGGAAAAGCTCTCTCTCCAGTTCCCCCAGATCCTCTCCCCAAAACGGGACAAACCACTTCCCCACACCAGGCCATCGGAAACGGAGGGGATGAAGCCGGTGCATCGCCGCAGGGCCTCCCAGGCCGGCTCCGCGCCCTCCGCCGGACCTGGAAGGGCGGCTCCCCCTGGAGCCCGGCTCGGCAGTCGAGGCCTGGCCGGGGTTCCAGTCTCAGCCCCAGGTTCGCGGAGCAGGCGGACGGGAGACGACGACGAAAGGACGGCGCTGCGGAGCTCACCCAAGTTCAAGGCATCACGCTTCCGGGGGCACAGGTGCCGCCCCGGCCCGTCACTCAGGCCCGGAGGCGGCGGCGGCGGCGGCGGCGGCGTCGGGCTGCGGCGGCCGCTCGGCGCGCGACCGTCGCATTTCAGTGACGTAACGCCCGTTGCCAGGAGACGGCGCCCATCCTTCCTCGGGGCTTGGCCTTGGCTCACGTGCTCTGCTGCTCCGGGCGACCTGAGAGGGAAGGTGGTGGCGAAGGCCTCGCCGGGCAGGCTCCTCGAGGTAGGGGCTCCATGGGGCGGCCATGGCAACGGCCTGGCCGATTGCTGCCTCTCCCGGCGCCATCTGCGAGAGGCGGAGGGCCCCCTGGTGACAGAGGCCACTTGGAACCCTGGTTTGGTCAGGGGTTGGATTCCAAGCCACCACTTACTAGGCCTCCAACCTCCCGCTGGTCACAGTTACACACAGATGATCTGGATCCTTATCACGAAGTGGGGTTGATGATGCTTGCCTCACTAGATTAAGAAACATAAAAGGGAACATTTGGACAGTAATAAATAGCAGCTGTTATTATTGTGATGAACAGGGGTTGGCGATGTTACGGCTTTTCAGAACATACATAGTCAGTAATTGTGGTCCATTAAGTATCCTGTGTGCCAAAAAAACGATGCTAAACACCTCCAAGCACTGGGCCAGTACACAGCAGAACAAGGTTTTAACCTAGGTTTGCTGACACTAGCGCCTCTGTGCTTAGTCGCTAAATTAAACTACTTCTCATGCTTGTTAATGTTTCCTTCCCAATCATTTGTGGATTTACCCTGTGAAGAACTAATCCTGCCCTCTAATAATAAATAGCTCACATTTATTGATCATTTACTATGTGCCAAGCCCTGTTATAAGGACTAAAGGTATTAATTCATTTAATTCTCATAGCAATCTTATGAGGTATCTATTAATATCTCATTTTACAGATGAAGAAATAGGCTTAGGAAAGTTAATGAAGTTTTCCAAGGTCTGCCGACAGGTCAGGAGCAGAGCCAGATTCGAATCCAAGCTTATAGAACCCTGAGCCTATGCTTTTAACTCTTGTACTAAAATACCTCAGTAAGATGATAAAACTTTAGCAGGGTCAGGTCCATGTCTGTGTATTTTTTAAAATATATTTTTATTGATTTCAGAGAGAAAGAGAGAGAAAAACATCAATAATGAGATAGAATCATTGATCGGCTGCCTCCTACAGGCCCCACACTGGGGACTGAGCCTGCAACTCGGGCATTTGCCCTTGACAGAAATCAAATCTGGGACCCTGCAGTCCAAAGGTTGACGCTATATCCACTTAGCCAAACCAGCTATACTCCTTTAGAGCATACTGAGGATCCTCTTCCTAATGGCCAGCACAGAACCTGGCATGCAATAGTTGTTCAATTTTTGAACACTTGATGAACATTTAAATGCTGCAAAAACGGCCGAAACCGGTTTGGCTCAGTGGATAGAGTGTTGGCCTGTGGACTGCAAGGTCCCAGGTTTGATTCTGGTCAAGGGCATGTACCTGGGTTGTGGGCACATCCCCAGTAGTCGGTGTGCAAGAGGCAGCTGATCGATGATTCTCTCTCATCAATGTTTCTAACTATCCCTCTCTCTTCCTCTTTGTAAAAAAATCAATAAAAAAATATATATTTTTTTAAATGCTGCAAAAATGAAGCTCCATCATGTGTGAAAGCAGTTAAACTTCAAAGAAATATTTGAAGCAACCCCATGCTCACTGCAGTATCCTATATGATAAAAGGCTAATATGCAAATCAATTGAATGGCAGAACAACCAGTAGCTATGACATGCACTGATCACCAGGGGGCAGATGCTGAACACAGGAGCTGCCCCCTGGTGGGCAGTGTGCTCCCACAGGGGGAGGGTCGCTCAGCCAGGAGCCAGGCTTATGGCTGGTCAGTGCAGCAGTGGTGGCAGGAGCCTCTCCTGCCTCCAGGGCAGCATTAAGGATATTCGACTACTGACTGACAGCATGTTGGGAATGTAAAATGATACAACTACTTTGGAAAACAACTACTTTAGCTGTTTTAAAAAGCCATTTTTTAAAAAGCTAAACATATACCCACTATATGATCCAGCCATTCATTGCACTTATAGGTATTTGCCCACAAAGACTGTACGTGAACAGTCATACTAGAATGAGAGAAAGGATTTCTATTTCAACCTAACCTTGGATTCAGGAAAATTACTGTACAGATTTCCTTCAATTTTGTAAAGTGGGGCCATTACTCCTTTTTATACCTCATGAAGCACATGTGTCAAACACAAGGCCTGCGGGCCAAATCCGTCCCGCCAGGCCTTGCAATGTGGCCTGCACTGCGCTGTCATCACTGCACTCCGCTGCGTTTCCATCACAATGACAGTTTATGACTGTTCAGTAAACCATTCGGCCCGCGATTTAGGCTGGATTTTAGATTTTGGCCCCTTCTCTGATTGAGTTCGACACCCCTATCATGAAGTGAGTAATGAGGAATGAACTGTAGAAGAGACTGTAAGACTGTTTTAGTTAATATAATTATTGATATCTCTAGGTAATTCCTTCCATTTATGGTATACAACTTTTTTCTTACATTTGCACAAGCATAATGAATTAATTAGAATGTAAAGCAGTAGGACAGTAATAAGGATTATCTTAAAAAACCATAGTAGAAGAGATTAAAAATTCTCTCTGGAATTCTTCTTACGAAATTATTTTGTAGCAAGGTAAGGAAACCTTTATTTTTTTATGTATTGAAAAATGTAGGGAAAAGTTTGTAGGGTACCATAAATATAAATAGTAAGAGTTGTAAAAGAAGGAACCTCTAAGTTAATTGTTTTGTAAGAAGGATTCTTTTATAATGAATTTTGCAATTTGTAATGTGTATTCAGTTTACATAGGTATTTTCCAATGAAAGTGCAGAGGCTTCAATAAAATTGTAGTAAACATAGTTCTGTAATGAAGACCAGGAAAATCTGAGAGACGTTTGAAATATTTTTCTAGGAAAGTATGTCCAATGCCTCCTGCTTTTTGTAAGGTCACTAAACATCTGTGACAGGACTGTGGGAATACATGAGGAGGCTGTTAGTGGTTATGGATTGTAAACATTTTTAACTTCCTGATGTAAAAATCATAAAGTTGAAAGAACTGTCTAATAAATCATCTAGTCCAACATTCTTTTATAGATGAAGCTGAGATCCAAAGATGGGACGTAGTTCACCTAAAGACAACAGAGCAAGTTAACTAAACTGGGTCAGGATCCTGATTTCCTGGCTACTAGTCTGGTACTTTTCCTCAGTACGTTATTGTGTTTTGTTCTATTTGTGTAGAATATGAGGGAACAGCTGTCATTTATAGTGAAGGTTAAGTGACATCAACTTCCAGAATTCTCCTTTCTGACTGCTTCTACTCAAGATCTGTCCTCCGTCCTCTGCTTTTATTTACACATTTGGAGAGCTCATGTACTCAGAACTTCAGTTATCACCTGTATTCAGATGATTCCCAAATCAGCATTGCCAATTCTTATCTTCCATTGGTGTTCCAGTCCTGTACTTCCATACTTCCATAGAATATCTCCCATAGGAATGAATGTGTCATAGTAATGACACCTGAATTCCACCATTTCCATATCATAGTGGCTTCAGTGTTGTTCTGGCCTCCCAGGCTAAATCATAAGAAATTTCTGTCTCCTCAAGCATGCTGTCATGGTGTCCTATACTTCCTTTAAAATTTCTCCTTGTTTAATTTTTTAAATTCTTTTAAAATTTTTCTTAGTGTGTACTAGACACTGTTAAGTGTCCTATACTTATTATATTCAATATTTTGTAAGCCTCACCCTGGTCCTAGAAGATAGGTGTTAAAAACAGATACTAATATCTTAATTTTACAGAAGAGAAAGCAGAAGTTCTAGAGCACATGTGTCAAACACAAGGCCCGCGGGCCAAATCCGTCCCGCCAGGCCTTGCAAAGTGGCCCGAACCGCGCTGTCATCACTGCACTCCGCTGCGTTTCCATCACAATGACAGTTTATGACTGTTCAGTAAACCATTCGGCCCACGATTTAGGCTGGATTTTAGATTTTGGCCCCTTCTCTGATTGAGTTCGACACCCCTATTCTAGAGAGTTGAAATAATTTGCCCAGGTTCACATACCCTGTTTCCCCGAAAATAAGACAGTATCTTATATTAATTTTTGCTTCCAAAGATGCGCTAGATCTTATTTTCAGGGGATGTCTTATTTTCCATGTGCTAGGTCTTATTTTCGGAGGATGTCTTATTTTCGGGGAAACACGGTAGTTCATAAACTACAGAGGAGGGACTCAAATCCACTGTCTGACTTCAGAACCTACCTCAGTTTTTAGTTACTGCACTATATTTCTACTATGGGGTTCAACCCATTCTTGTCCATTCCATACTGTTATCTCAGCCCAAGTTCCATGTTACTTCATAGATAGGTTAGTATAATAACATCTTAGCTGATCAACGTATCCTGAAACATATTTATTCATTTTATCTTGTGTTTTGCTGTCTGACCAAACAATTTAAAATATTTTCATTAAATCTACACTGTAAAGGTGCTGGTGTTCAATATTAGGCCAGAGCAGGTAAACAGACTGGATCCCAGTCTTTGAGAACCCATTTTAAATGAATGATTTGACCACACCATTTTCCCAAAGATGTATCTGAATCTTAGAGAGAGTGGGTTCTGTATATTACCTACCCTCATTGTTATCATCAGTTCAGGCCAGCCCCTAACAATCCTTCATTGATATGTTCTATGGCAGTGGTCGGCAAACCGCGGCTCGCGAGCCACATGTGGCTCTTTGGCCCCTTGAATGTCGCTCTTCCACAAAATACCATGCACGTACAGTGCGATTGAAACTTCATGGCCCATGCACAGAAGTTGGTTTTCGGCCTCGGCAAGTTTATTTTGAAGAAGTGGTTCTAACGCCCTGCCACATTCAAGGGGCAAAGAGCCCATGTGGTTTGCGAGCTATGGTTTGCTGACCACTGTTCTATGGTCACTGATCTTAGCACAACTCTTTATGGCCCAGTTTTCTTTCTCATCTTCACCCACATTAGGCTAGCTTCCTCCCTGCCTTAGCCATCTCAGCTGACCTCAGGAATTCCCATATTCCTGTCAACAGCTCTGCTGCTATTGTCTGATTTTCCTTTGAACACTTTCTACCTTGCTAAATCCAGAGGAATCCGCTTCTCTGATGACCTTTTTTGGCTAGGAGACAAGTTAACATTCTTTCTTCTAGCTGTCACACTAATGTTTAATTACTATCAATTAGCCATCTCTGCTCCTTTGATCACTTCCATCTGGCAGTCTGTTTTTTCCTAAGCCAGCTAGGTCTAATAACTACAGATCAAAGAAGTCATGTTTCTCCTCATGCAAATACAAGACTCAGACCTTACCATTACTACCCTGTTTCCCCGAAAATAAGACAGTGTCTTATATTAATTTTTTCTCCCAAAGTTGCACTAGGTCTTATTTTCAGGGGATGTCTTATCTTTCCATCCGCTAGGTCTTATTTTCGGAGGATGTCTTATTTTTGGGGAAACACGGTATGTATAATGTAAAGAAAGATCAATGCCATGAGTACTAACAGGGCCAGAGGAAATGAAGTGAGAAAGCAAGGGGACACAGAGAGTACATACTTGCTTCAATCCTGGGGGCTATCCACCAGTTCCCAGATGGATGCGTCAATGGGAAATGACCACTACCACAAGAGAGCAAAACCTAAGTCAGTTTCTCTCTCTGCTACATGGAAAACAAAGGCTAGAAGCAGTCAACCCATAATTATATTTTCAAGATTATGTAAAGATCATCTTTTTATAGGTAATTTGTACTAATTTGATTTGAATTAGGATCCAAACAAGATCCTCTCATTGCATTTGTTATATTTCAAGTCTTTTATTTCAGAGCAGTACTCCTCTCCTCCTTTTTTCATGCTATTAACTTGTAGAAATTTGGGCACGTTAGAGTTCAACCAGACAAACAGATAAATAGCAAACATATACTAAGACATTTATTGCAAGGAGTTGGTTTACTCAGTGTGGGGGCTGCAAGGCAAATTGGGAATCTGTAGGGCAAGCCATCAGGAAGGGCAGGCTGGAACTCTTGGGCCTGAATGGAAACTGCTATGCACAGGTAAAATTTCTTCTGGGAAGCCTTAATTCTACTCTTCAATTCTTTCAGCTGAATGAATCAGACCCATCTGGATTATCTAAGATAATCTCCCTTACTTGAAGTTAATTGTTTACAGACTTTAATTACATTTACAAAATACCTTCACCAGCGACACTTAGTCTTTGATTAAATAACTAGAGACTAAAATCTAGTGACACATAAAGATATCATACTGTGTCAGTTGCTATATAGACAGTCTACTATTAGGTAAATCCCACATTCTTTATCTGTTTTCTTCCTTGTGGTGTCATTCCTTTCCATAGTTCCTATAAACTCAGTTTGGCTTTGGAGGCTTGATTATATTCTGAGTGCCACTAATGGGTACTGAGTTTTAAGATAGAAAAACTTCACCCACCAGTAATATGTAGTCAAGTAGAGGTCTTGGCCTTTATCAGTGAAGTTAGCAATCCCTCTTCTAAGGGAATGTAATGAAGGGGTTATTAGTAAGAGGACATATAGAGCTGGGAGAAAGGGTAGGAATATTCTCTTACTTACATTAAAGTTTGAAGTGTTCCTCTGCTCTGGTTGCCACCTCATGACTGTTTCCCTCCATGTAGATGCAGGCTTCCCAGCTTACTTACTGAAGTGGTATTGTGAGTAAGATGGGTAGCCTGCATTTTGACTGACATCGTATACTCTAATCTACCTGCATTGGGGTTTCAGACACAAGGCAAGATCCTCTGTAGATAAAGCCATATTTTAGTTTAAATTAGGATCATGTTTGCCTCTGCCCAGACACTAAATACCAGTGATGAGTTTACATCATTTCTGATGTCTCCTAGCAGCATATAACTCATCCCACATTCCTTTCCAGATGTACTGCCCAGACATATTTTCCAAGCTGGGTCTTCAGATTTAGACATCTCTTCCTTATACCTCTACTATATTGAAGTTTCTGTTGTGTTCTTCTACTTATAGTATATCTTTAACAAGTTCTTTTATATATATATATATATATATATATATATATATATGCATATATACAAGAGAAAACAACATGATTTTAAAATATTTTGTTATGACACTATATGAAGTTTCATAACGTGTTTGTTATTACTATTATTTGTGATGTTGACTTTTGCTGAAACTATAATCTTCATAGGTAAAGTAATATACTTCTATTTGGTCTTTTGATATTCATAGCGATTTTACTTTTAATTTTGTCTTATTTTGATCACAGAAAAATGTCTTCAACTTAGATAAAGACTAAACCCAAATAAAATAACAATTTGAATAGTAATAAATAAAAGTCTTAGAAATGTCCCCAAAGGGTTCTGATTTCTAGATAATTATATTATTTGGTATGCAGAAGTCCACATTGCCAAAAAACCACCATAGATTTTGAAGACTAAAATAAAAATTCAAAGACTAAGGAACTAAAATTTTTGCCAACATTTATTGACTTTGTGGTTGCTGAGTGACTCAACTTTCTTTGACTTGACCACAATCCAAAACACACTGAAGTTTTAGTGTTAAAACAAATACTGCTGAAACCGGTTTGGCTCAGTGGTAGAGCGTCGGTCTGCGGACTGAAGGGTCCTGGGTTCGATTCCGGTCAGGGGCATGTACGTTGGTTGAGGGCACATTCCCGGTGGGGGGTGTGCAGGAGGCAGCTGGTCGATGTTTCTCTCTCATCGACGTTTCTATCTCTCTCTCTCCCTTCCTCTTTGTAAAAAATCAATAAAATATATTTTAAAAAAACAAAAACAAAAAAACAACAACAACAAATACTAATATGAGATTGCTCACAGAGGTGAGTCGGTGGCCACCTCAGAGACTAAAGTTCAAGTACAATAGCCTTTGCACATTCTTCTGGCTTGTTCACTGCTACAGTCTATACCCAAAGAAAGTCATCAAGAAAAAACAGTGTTTAAAATTTTTAAATTCTTGATTTTTAATTCTTGGCAATTAAACCAAAAACTAAGATACTACTCTGTGGGCCAACCAAAAAAGATTGTGCCAACTAGTTATGGCATCGAGGTAAAAGGATCATGACGCTATGGTGTCACTTGTGAGGGGAAGAAATTAATAGCAGTCTCAAAAGGGAAAACTAGAGAGGGGAAGACATAAAACTAGAGAAAAAAAGACGAATGGGCTATCTTGAATCTCCCACTTCCCATGAACTCTGAGATGGATTGAAATGTAGAATCTGAATCACAATAAAAGGATGTGTGTGTGTGTGTGTGTGTGTGTGTGTGTACTTGATCAACTTAAAATTAAGCTGATATCACCCTGTCTAGGTAGCTCAATTGGTAGAGCATTGTCATGATATGCCAAGGTTGCAGGTTCAAGCCCTGGTCAGAACATATACAAGAAGCAACAAATGAATGCATAAATGAGTGGAACAACAAATCCATGTCTTTCTCTCTTTCCCTTCCTCTTTCTCAAATCAATCAATAAAAACTTTAAAAATTAAGACCATATGAAGCAAGAATAGTCCCTCATGGTGAATATATATATATTTTTATATATATATATACACACACACACTATTGGGGTTTATAATTGTTTATAGTTCAACAACCATAGTTGTCTCTTACTTTTGCAAACAACAGACAGCTTTTACTTTGCATGAAAGTTAAAATACATCTACGTAAATAAGAGAGCAAAGAAGTTTTCTAAATACTTTTATTTTGGGCACAAATATTTATAAATTTTTGTTCTTGCTGGAAAATGGAGAGCTCGTGATAGATTTGTTAATGACATTAAAATGTGTATTGTTGTATAAAGGTAATGTACATTTTAGGTATGTTAATAATAAATTAAGGTCCTAATAAAGAAAAAATTAATAGATTAGTCTCAGCAGAAAAATTAGTTTTAAAGGAGGATAAGCTAGGGATATCAAAACAAAACAACTAGCTCCAGACATTTTTATACTGTGCAATCTTTTGATAAATAATGTTCAATTAAAGAATGTAATACCTTGCACATCTGATATATAGTAGATATTCACCAAATGTTTGTTAAACTTCATTGCTTTTTAACACAGTAATTTTCCTCAGTAATAATATCTATAACTCAGATAAAAATAGAAATTTCTAAGAGATTTTTTTTGTTTCTTGCAAAAGTATATTTTTCTACAGAAAATAGCATCAGCAGAAGAGAAAGAAAAGAAAATGTGTGTATGTTCTAAAAGGCAATTCCAACTCCAGTTATTCAGAGATGAATACTTTGACCCTCTCTGAATTTGTAGTATCTGCTGATGATATGCTGTCAATATCCTCAGCCTCATTATTTTTCTCTGTTTATTTTGGCTTTACAGAGATCAGGTCTCAAGTCACTGGAATCTCTATGGCCTTCAGTTACTAAACGTTTCCTTCCCTCTATTGCTCTTGCCTGGATCAGAAGGATATGCCAGGTGGTATAAATGTTTCCTTTTCAGAGCTGAGAAAGAGATCTGGGCTGTGGAGTCAATAGAGAAAGCCTTGGTTTTGGTGGTTTCTTGGCTCTCAACTCACCTGTTCTCAGGCAGCCTCGAGATCTCTTTACAAATGTTTGGATTAGATGTTTTAGATCCTTGTGCTTTGTTTGCTCCTTTCTCCCACTGGGATATTATTAGGACATAACAAAGCTAAAAAAGCTGTGGGAAGCTTTGGAGGCAGGAGGATAGGGTCCAGCGAGGATTATAGTAAAACAGGAATTCACTTTGGTTTCATTACCTACATAGTCCAAAGATAGCCCTGAGTTGATTCTAGTTAGGAAGCAAGGCTGGACTTTCTTGATTGTTCCTTTGGCCCTTTTAGTTTCCCCATTTGGGGCCAGGATATGTGTCAGGAAAGAAATCAGCCTCAGGTGTGTGCTCTCATTTTTTTCTCTTCTAAACTTCAGCTTCCATGCACCGAACTGTAGTTTTGGGCGGACTGTTGGGTTCTTCTGGCTTTTTATCCGTTTTCTTTGAGTCCTCACCAGAATTGCCATCGTCAGCCTTTTCCTCCTTCACTAATTTGGTTTCAATCATTTCCTTCTGCTCATTCTTGTTTGTAAAAGGGAAGGCCTTTACATACCTGTAGGCATAAGCATGAAAATAAAGTGAGAGGCTTCTCTGTAATACCTATAACGATAAATAACACTTTGCCTGTGATGGCCATATTGGCACAGCACACTGGGTACTTTATTTCTGAGAGATGCTAACACATGCAAGCTCAAATACATGAACACGTCCCCCCATTCTAATGGATTCACTTAGATTGGATAGAAATCGGACGGGCCAAATTTTGGGCTGACCTCACCACTCTCCCACCATAAGCAAATAATTGAAAATAAAGTAAAGCATATACATTTTCTCCTACATGTCAATCTTTTATTTATTTCTTTTCAAAGGGACAGCCAATAACCTATATTTAAAGACTGGCTGATATGCATGTGCTGATATAGTAGGAAAGATGGTGTGGTAGTGGGGAGCGGGGAGGTGAAGGAGAAAATATGCAGTATAAGAGAACTGCCATCTCCATAAGTTTGGAAAAACACAAGATAGGGACACAGCAAAGGTTACAAGGTAAATGATATTCTGACAACTCCACCTTTTGACGTAGCAAATGGCGAGACCAGCTGCAGCAGCAAAGAAGAGGAGTGCAAGCACTAGCAGAGCTGTGGGGACACCTGGAGGAAACAGAAACATGGCTTGTTCGTCCTTCACTTTTACATTGTTGTGCACTGCTCTTCTAACATTCATCTTTACCTGTGACCGAGACACAGATAGTGAAGGAGAAAAGCCTTCTCTGACCACACAGGGGCCACTTAGGATGTTGGGTCCACATCTACTTCTTTGCTTCTCACTTATAGAACCCTTGGCCCTGCCTCTCATACTCTTTCTATTCTATAAGTTGCAATATGACAGAAAGAGTCTGTTTTTTTCTGTGGCCTTGAGATGGTAAGTTTGGAGCTAATTAAGTATAAGACCCTTACTTTTAAATAAGAAAACCAAATCTCTGATAATATGCTATTAAGGAATATATTTTAAAAAGAACTTCTACACATTCATAGATAGTAATTTATTTTTTAAAGTTGAGTTTGAAAAGAAACTATTTCGTACTCATGATTTTTTAGTTTAATCATTATAGTTTTTTAGAGCTCAAGTTCTATATATATGAAAGTTGAGTTTGCATTAAGCTTTTATTTGTATTTGGACTTATTTGTATAGGTCCTGAGTGACTGATCTAGAGACAGCTAGTTTCTATGTATTATCTGTTAAAAATACACATACACATACACACACTGCAGACACAGAAGGCTTTACCTCCAAATCCAACATCTTCATTCTTGAATGCTGTTTCAATAGGTGATTCAGTTTCTGCAGATGTGGTAGTTTCTATAAAAACTTCTGTTATGCAAATTAATTTTGTTTTTCGTGGAGAAGCGGGAGCCAGAGTCCGAGTACGGGCAGGAGGAGGAGGAGTTGTAGTAGAGTAAGGTGTATCAGTAGTTAATGCTGAGTGTATTGTGTTACTATTAGTCATTTCTGTTATGTATGCTTCAGTTTGAGTGTTGAATATGGGATCTTTGGTGGTGGTAAGTTTTGGAAAACATGAGTTAATCCAAGTATCTGTAGGGAAGAAGAAACGAAATAAGAAGTAAATATTGTATTAGCCTCCTATTTGGTCTTCCTGCCTCTAGTCTTACTCCTCTCCAGACTTAGACCATAGCTGGAATGGTTTTCCAAATATGCAAATCTAATTATATCACTTGCTTAGAGTCCTTCAGTGACTGCCTATTGCATGGCCTATAAGGCCCTCCATGATTTGGTTCTGCTCATCTGATCAGTCTTTCTGTCATTCCTCCTATCATACTGAAATTCCTTCAGTTCTTTGATATGCTTTCTCTCACATTCCTTACAAGCCTTAGACCTTGATGCTTTCTTCAACCGCAGGACTCGTGGCCCCTCTTTACTTAGCTATCTTTTACTTGTCCATCAGGTCTCAGATTGAACACTTTCTTAGGGAGACTTGTCCCTAGGCATTTGTTCCTGTGCTTTTGTCATGGTTCTCGTTACACTCCTCCCCACTGGTCTGTCTTGGTCAGCATTATATGCACACTGTGCCTGTCAAAAATACATGGTTAATATTGGATGAATAAAGCAAGGAAGGAAAAGCAAAAGGAAGGAGTAGATAGGGAGACCACTTAAGAACAAAGATCTATTAAAACCAGATTTCTCTGTGCTCATCAAAAAGCGGAAGGAGCCTGGGTGTCATGGCTCAGTGGTTGAGCATCAACCTATGAACCAGGAGGTCATGGTTGGATTCCCAGTCAGGACATATACCTGGATTGTGGACTTAATCGCCAGTGTGGGACATAGAGGAGGCAGCTGATCAATGTTTCTTTCTCAACATTGATGTCTCTATCTCTCCCTCTCCTTTCCTCTCTGAAATCAATAAAAAATATTTTTTATAAAGGGGGGAAGAGAAGAGAAAAGGGAGAGAGAGGTTGCTTTTCAATCTGTTGAATGTGGTAGATATGAAACTACATTTATTAATCATTTTGCTCTGAGTCCCATAGCACTTCATTTAAAAATTTTATCAAACCCTCATTTATATAGGAGGAAACTGAAGTTCAGAGAAACTGAATGACTTGCCCAGAGTCACAGAGCTAGTAAATGGCAGAGCCATAAACATATATTTTATATGAATTTGCCCCTATTTAAAACCTCTAGTTATTTGTGGCAGGAGGTAGCATTAGCTAGAATGCTAACTATGAAGAAAAGTCATGCCATTCATTTTTGAAAATTAAATAATTTATCTGTCAAGGTCATGGATACTATAGTACTGATAAAACATTGGATTACACATGCATTCAGGCAGGATTTTATGCTATTCATTTATTTTCCTTTGAAAAGACCTCTGTTCACGTAGACATCATCCTTGACTTTCTCTGCCCTGAACTTTTAGCTATATTTTTCATTTTTGAGCAATGCTGAGTTCTTCCCTCAGAAACTGAATATTTTTTGAAAATATCAAGGGTAAAAAACTACTGAGCACAATATACTGTGTTGGGAACTGAAAATATAGACATAAATTAGGCATGGTTTCTGTTTTCGGGAGGACAGAGTATTTTGATAAGGATAGAGGGAGATCACTGGGGATTTACAAAAGGATACGGCATTTGGGCTGAGTTTTGAGGATTAATATGTTCATTCAACAAATATTTATTGAGCTTCAGCTTTGTGCAGGCACTATTCCAATTGCTAAGGACACGGTGTAACAAAAAAGACAAAAATCCCTGCTTGTAAGGGGCTTATATGCTTTTGGAAGGATTGAGATAATAATTTTTAAAGCCAGCAATGTCAAAAGATGGTAAATGTTGAGAAGACAGTTGAACAGGATGAAGATTAAACTGAAAAGAGTGAGCGATGGGGGACAGATACTCTGGATAGGATGATAAGA